GGTGTGCACCCAGGCGTGCATGGTCAGCTCCTGGATGAAGTACTCGCAGGCCTTGGCAAACAGCAGCGGCGCCTCGCCGGCAATCATCTTGGCGTTCTCGTCCAGTTTCATGATCTTTTTGATGCGCGCCAGCGGCAGCACCTGGTGCTTGGCATCCACCTGGCCAATTCCGTGCACCTCGCTCACAATGTTCGGCCAGAAATTGTCGATGGTGGGCGGCGGTTTGCGGGCCACCTGAGCCCGCGTCGCCTTGGTGGTCTTGGGCTCCTTGGCGCTGCTCCCGGTAGTGGTGGTGGTGGTGGTGTTCACCGTCACACTCATGCTGGGATTAACCAAGGTGCAGGCATTGGATACCAGACTGCCCATGGGTATCGCCTGATGCTGTTGTTGTTGCTGCTGATGCTGCTGTTGTTGGTGTTGTTGCTGCTGCTGTTGTTGTTGCGCGGAGGAGGAGGAGGAGGTGGTGACCACCACTGCATTGGGAGTCCTTCGCTGCATGGCCACCGCCGCCGCAGGATTCTGTGACTTTGCATACGCCTGGCCCAGTTCCACCTTAATGGGCGTCACTGTGATGGTGTTGTCGAACATGGAGGTGGCATTGCTGGCGGGGATTGGCCATCCGCATTGGTTAAGTGCAAAACATAAAACGAAAACAAAAACAAAAAGGAGCGGCGCAAATTAAAAATCTCGGCTGTACCGCCTGTTTTGGGGGAGGGGCTCGCAATCGCAAATGCGAGATTCTCGATTTGTGGCCAGAACTTACCTGTTTGGCGCCTTGTTCGTGCCGCCATTGTTCGTGGCGTACATGGCCCGGTTAGCTGGATACCTAGGCTCGGCGTTGGCGGCAACCGTGGAACTCTGGCGACCGGCTCGACTCCCAAATATTTGTTTCAATTCGACGCTTTTAATTCGCGTAATAATACGCGTAATGCACACATACACGCGAATCTCAGTGTGGCCAGGCGTCGTTGAGGGCAAAAAAATCCACCACCCCCACACCGATAGCACCGAAAATCGATAACTGCGGTTTTGGCTACTTTCAAGCCAGAAACTAGCTAGATCCCAGAACCAAGATCCCCACCGATAACACCGAAAGTCGATAGCTGCGTTTTGGCTTCTTTCAAGCCAGAAACTAGCCAGACCAATCGAACCCACACCGCGATAAGAAACGGATTCCCAAAACCAAATCCCCGACAGAAACGAAGATGAAGGATCTCTTCTGGCACCTGGTTGGCATAGCCACCGGCCTCAAGATCCTCCTCATTCCCGCCTAGTAAGTGTTCTGGCGCTTTTTCAGTAAATTACTAAATTGACCACCCCCACAGCCACTCCACTGATTTCGAGGTGCACCGCAACTGGCTGGCCATCACCCATAGTTTGCCCCTGGAGCGCTGGTATGTGGAGGCCACCAGCGAGTGGACCCTCGACTACCCGCCCTTCTTCGCCCACTTCGAGTGGCTGCTGTCGCAGGTGGCCAAGTACGTGGATCCGCGGATGCTGGAGGTGCAGAACCTCAACTACGAGTCCAAGGGCACCGTCTACTTCCAGCGGCTGTCGGTGATTGCCACCGATCTGGTCTATGTGCTGGGCGTGCGCAGCTGCCTGGGCTCATTGGGCTTGGCCCGGGATACGCAACAGCACTTCGCCGGCTCCATGCTGTTGCTGCTCAACGTGGGACTGCTGTTCGTGGACCACATTCACTTCCAGTACAACGGCTTCCTGTTCGGCATTCTGCTCCTCAGCATCGGCTCCCTCATCCGACAGCGATTCCTCTGGAGCGCCTTTGCCTTCGCCGTGCTGCTCAACTTCAAGCACATCTTCCTGTACTTGGCCCCGGCGTTTGGCGTCTACCTGTTGAGATTCTACTGCCTGGAGCAGGCCACTGTGCTGTCGCAGGCGGCTGCCTTGGCCAAGCTGCTGGCCGTGGGACTCACTCCGTTCGCCGTGTCCTTTGGACCCTTCTGGCAGCAGCTGCCGCAGGTCCTGGCCCGCCTGTTTCCCTTCAAGCGCGGACTGACGCACGCCTACTGGGCGCCAAACTTCTGGGCCCTGTACAACACGGCGGACAAGGTGGCCGCTGGCGTTTTGAAGGTGCCGGGTGGCACCGCTGGCACCTCGACCTCGTCGGGATTGGTGCAGGAAGTGAGGCACTCGGTGCTGCCAGCCATCACGCCGCCCGTAACATTCGCCCTCACTGTTCTCTTCATGCTGCCCATTCTGTGGAAGCTCTTCAGGAGTCCCAAAAAGTAAGCTGGGCCAATGAATCCAAATTAGTAATCCAAACTAAAGCTTATCTTGTTGTAGTCAAAGTCCTTTGGTCTTCCTGCGAGCCGTGGTCTTGTGTGGCTGCTCCTCCTTTGTGTTTGGCTGGCATGTCCACGAGAAGGCCATCCTCATGGTGCTCATTCCGCTGTGGTGAGTTTGCTCGCATTAACCAGGCAACGGACGATTACCCACTAACACTGCCCACGCCCACTTACAGTCTGTTGACCCTTGTGAACCGCGAGGATGCCAGATACGCCTACATCCTGGGCATTGCCGGCTACTTTTCCCTGTTCCCGCTGCTCTTCGCACCGGATCTATACATTCCCCGGTACTCCCTGTACATGTCCTATGTGGCCATGATGTACGGCCAGCTGTATCGCATCTTTCCCGGCTTCCGGGGCTTCCATCCGCTCGAGTGGCTCTACATGCTGGGCTTCCTGGCCATTCCGCTGTACGAGCACCTGCTCGCCTTCCTGCTGCACCTGGACCGGCGTCTTCCGTTCCTGCCGCTCCTGCTGACCTCCGTGTACGCGGCACTGGGCGTGCTCTACTTCTTCGGGGCCTACTATCTGTACGCCCTGGGCTTCAGCTGGGGCAAGGTGGCCATGAGCAGCTCAACCTTGGCCTCCTCTTCCGCGTCGGCTGTAAAGCGAAAACGAAAAACCAAATAAACAGAGCAGTAGAATGGACTTCAGCGGAAATGTAGTGTTGGTGGCCAGCAGTCGGCAAGGCGCCTGGCGCAACGCTGGCCGGGATTCTCTGTCTCCCAAACAATGGCTGTTCGGCGGAATTGTGCACGCAGGTAGCAGGTATCGCCGGCGTCTAAGCGGCGTACCTGTTGCCGCGACCAGATTATGGACGGGTGGGCCATAAAACAGGTAACAGACGGGCTGCTTGAGTGGGCGACGTTCCTGGAAAACCCGCGGAAAACACGCTGGCTGAATGAATACACATCTGTATATATCTGAATGTATCGCCTCAGTTGATAGCTTTCCGTCCAGGCGAACAGGTCGCTATGCAGATGCACATAGAGTTCTCACATGGCTATGGCTACGAGCCAATCAGGAGGCCACCTCTGCCGCCTCCGAATCCGCCACAACAGCCGTTGTCCAGCAAGTAAGCAGGCGGTAATCCCGATGTCCCCATCGCAGTGTATCAGTGATCAGTGATTCCATTGCAGTGACTCCGATGCCTGCTTCCGCCGGGGATCCTACATTGAGCTGGCCAACGGCACCATACGTCGCGTGGAGGACATACGCACGGAGGACTTCATCCAGTCGGCGCTGCGCAGCCAGCTCTTTGAGCTGCGGGAGGCCACTGTGGTCCGGATCGACCGGGCAGTGTCCCCCAGCCACGTGACCATTACCTTCAGCTATGACACACAGCATGCCAAGGTGCGTTTTCTCGATGATTGATTGTTATAACCTTACAGAGGGTGTTACAATTTCAGTCAAATGCCATTAATAAGTATATGTATTCTTGAATAGGATCACTTAAAGAGTAGATCTGTATGTCCGTCCATTCGTCTGTATCTCAGTTTCGAAGCTATCTTGATGAATCTTTTTCAAAAGCCTTGTTTCTATTTCTGCCATAGGAAAACTCGGGGAAAAAATAAACATAAAATTATTACTTTGTTGTTTCTTAACAAACATCCATATACAGTGGGTAAAAAAAAGTTTACGAACAAATTACATAGAGTTTCAGTGCAAAGTGACTTAAGCTAACATATTTTGCCCATCACAGTAATTTTTAGTGATTTAAGGGCTTTAATTTTATAAAAATGGTACAACTATATCATTATATACCTATAGAAATAATCGTAAAAATAATGAAAAAATTATATTCACTGTTTTCAATAGCCATACAATTTATCCTGAAATTTAGCAGAAAATGAATATAACTTCATTATCATTTTAAACGCACACATATTAAAATATAGTTTTAAAAACCTTAGCATACTAGCTACTAGTATACATATATAAATTTCGGCTTGTCGATCTTTGCACCCATTCTTGTTGCGCCTATGTTTTTTAAGTAATTCCGATTCGCTTGGCTATTCGCAGTTGGACTTGGAGGTGCTGCCGGGCCATCCGATGTTTGTTTATGGACAGGGCTGGGCCTCCTGCGATCCCCGGCTGTCGCTGCAGCTGTACGAGCTCAAGTGCCAGCAGCTGCAGGTGGGCGACATCTGTTTGTCACTGGTGCCGCGCGAGCAACCAGTTGCTCCACCTCCTCCGCCGCCGCCACAACCATGTCATCGTCCTTCTCCTTCGCCGTTGGAATTTCCAGCTCCAATGACTTCTCCGCCCGCCGGAGCCTGTGCACCGCCGGCGTTCAAGCATCCCTACCAAGTGTACGCCCAGATGGCCAGTTTTGTGGCCGTCTACACCCAGCATATGATGGAGAAGTTAAACCACCAAGCAAATTAACTCAAATTCCTATATACTTGTATTCAAGGCGTTTTAGGGATATTTTTAGCGCTATCCCCAGAAAACGTTGCACACATTTCACATAATTCTTTGTATATTAACAACTGTATTTTGCTTAATTTTTCTTAAATAAAGTTTAAAAAAAAACATTGCCCGCCAAAAAATGATAATGCGCGGATAGCCGATAACCACCTGTATTCAACAGTTTCTTATCGAAGGAGCCATGTTTCGTGTCACGACATTGAACATATGTACTTATCAAGGAGTTCTGGAGCAGTTTGTCCACAGGCAGTCACATGAATATGATCTAAATTTAAGGGAAGTTCGGACAAGTAGGGATCTTGATAACGGGGATTTTCCAGAGAGGGCTTCCTCCGCGAATATATCGATAACCGACGGTCCGTTGCGCGCCCCCGCCAGATGTGCCCATCGATAGTTTATTGGCCCACCCACTAACTGATGTTGGAACAAATAACGAGAAAAACCAAATTACTTTCGTAGTGCGAAGCGAAACCACGATTGATCACGATTGATGCCGAGATTGGAGGAGACTTGATGTCTGCGCTAGCGCCGCCAATGCCCTCAATGAAGAACGCGCTCGGGCAGCCGGACAACTACAATAGTGCCTCCACGGGAACTGGGACGTCCGAGGAGGAGGCGTCGTCCGCGTTCCACGCGGAGTTCGACCGCGTTTTGCGGAACAACAATGGCAACAACCAGGGAAACGATGCCAGCAGCGGTAGTGGGAGTGTCAGTGTATCTGGGTCCGCATCCGCATCCGGATCCGGATCTGGAGGCAGTGAGTCCATGCTGTCGCTGGGCGGGAACAAGACGCACGAGTCTGCGCAGACGTTCGGCAATACGCTGGTGCTGCGCACCATGCACCACGACATGTCCATGTCGATGGGAATGGGTGTGGGGATGGGGCCGCCCAAGGGGCAGGTGATGACCCCGAATCATCGCAAGGTGTTCCAGTGCAAAGGTGAACTGTTTGCAGCTGCTCTAGAGCCTTGACCTTAATGTGAGTGTCCCATTGAAATCCAGGTGATCCCGTCAACGTGTCGGCCAACGGTGAGGATCTGCGCCTATCCAAGATCATACGCCGCCTGAGCAACGAGTCCAATCCCGCCGTGGCCTTGGAGTTGTGCGCCAAACTGGACCAGGCCGTGCGCACGCCCATCAACCAGGGCTACATGTCCTGCTCGTTCGTGTGGATCCTGGAGAACATGCTCACCCTCTACAAGCAGTGCTCGCCCGCCGTTCTCGACGAGTGCAGCAAGACGCTCGGCCTGATTGGTTACATCAACCGCAAGTCGTACCCCATCTACGAGGAGTTCATCGTGGTGAACTACCGGAGCTGCCGCCGGATGCAGCGCTACCTGATCGTGGCCCTGCGCACCACTCTGAGGTGACTGACCCACTTGACCCGCCTTTCGTTTCGTTTCGTTTCGTTTCGTTTGCCCTAATTCATGCCCTCAATTCATGCCAATTCCCCCAATTCCCCATCCAAATGCAGCTGCGACACCAAGGGCGAACTGCATGTGTACGCCGACAAGATTATGCTGCTGCTGAAGGACTTCCTGGAGAATGCCGAGAGCGCGGACAACTTCACGGCCGTAAGCAACACGCTGGTGCAGTTCTCGGCCAGCTATCGTGAGGCCTTCGAGTGCCACTTTACCGACGTGGTGGACATCATCATCGGTTGGCAGCTGGAGGCGGGCCAGCCCGTGCAGCTGCGGGCCCACTGTGCCCAGGTGCTGGAGCAACTGACGCCGTATTTTAGCAAGCAGATCGAGTTCAGCTACGGCCTGTTGGCCCAATTCGTGGAGGACATCACCGGGCTGGAGGAGGAGGATCCGGCGGAGCGAGTGGCGGAGCGAATGGGCGCCCTTGTGGGCGCCTTCAATACACTGCTCAAGTGCCTGGCCCGCATGCAGATATTCGTGGGCATGCCCACCTGTGAGTGCATCGTCCAGCTGGCCGTGGATCACCTGACCAAGATAATGGTGCCGCCCATGCACTCCGATGCCCATGTGAACATCAACGAGCTGCTCTGCATCTGCCTGCTAAACAACTTTGGCGGCCTGGATCCGAGCACCTTGGAGCACCTGCTGCTGGCCCAGATCGACCAGTTGGCCTGCCTGAGCGTTACCCATCGCCAGAGCGTTCTGTATCTGCTGCTCTGCACCGTGCGGCGACTGCGGGCACGTCTGCCGCCCAGCCTGGTGCACCTGATCTTCCACCAGTCCAGTTCGTATCTGGCGGAGGTGCGCCGTCAAACGCCGGGCGGCATTGAATACAGGCTGCTGTTGCGCACCTGCCAGGAGACACTGCTCATCCGGAACGTGCCCCTGCTGCAGCAGGCGTACAAGCACCTTGTTGACGACATCGACGCCTGTATGCTGCAACTGCTCTCGACTTCACCACCAATGGACGGCATACAGAAGGAGAGACAGGAGGAGCAGGAGGAGGAGGCCGAACGGAGGGCCGGCGAGGCGGGCGTGTTGCTCGTCTTCCATCTGGCCGCCTTGGCTGCGTTGGCCAAGCAGACCTCCTCCATTATCGGCATGTACGCCTGCAAGCCCTCGATTCTGGAGCTGCTGCTCACCAACTGCCGGGCCGACGAGCTGACGCTATGGAGCCGCTATCCGGCCGCCCATCAGGCCATTTTGGGTCTGCTGGTGGTGCACTGCCAGGCGAATCACAATTTCCGCACCAACTCCAGCCTGCTGCGCGACCAGGAGCTGGCGGCGGAGAACACCTCACCGACGGCCAATAGCTTTGCCAGCATTCTCCGATTTCTGGACTCGGTGCTGCAACAGGCTGGCCAGCTGGCCACCCACAATCTGAGGCTATTGCTGCAGTGGACGCAGCAGCTCCTCAGCGAGTGTCGCGAGAAGGCCGATCTGCTCCTGGAGCAGGAGCACTTCGTGGGCATTTGTCGGCACATGGCAGCAGCCGCCTCCAAGTGGACGCCCCAGGAGAGTGCGGCCTGCATCCAGACCGTTTTGGCGTATGGCCCCGAGAGGCTGGGCCATCTGCCCGACCTGCTGATCCTGTACCGCGACACGGCACTCCAGCAGCTGCAGGTGCTCTCCCCGAATGGTCATGCACCCTATGCCCAGATCTATGCCCAGTTGCCACTCCACTTGACCCTCACGGGCGCTGAATCATTGACAGCCGGCATGGCGAGCCGACGTGTGTGCGTTTGGCAGCAGCGGATGAGTCAGTGCAGCGCCGTGCGCGACACCGTCTTCCGGGACTTCTTCGAGCGCCTGCAGAGGCCGGAGCAGGAGTCGCTGGCGCACAGTGTGCGGGAGCTGTTCGTGCGCAGCTGCCAGGTGGCGTCGCAGGACGAGCGGCAGGAGAAGCTGTCGCAGTGCACGAAGCGCTGCCAGCGCTTGGCCACCGCATGGCTGCAGTTCGAGGCAGCCAGGTACTGTGTGGACCAGCGCCTGCGAACGACGCTGGGCAAGCCGCAGGAGACGTTCCTCGGGTTCGAGGCCATCATCATGCGCCACGCCCGACTCCTGAGTGGCTGTGCCAAGGAGCTGGAGCGCTCCGCCCTCGATGGCCTGTCGCTGGAGCAGTTCGTCAGCATGCAGGGCAATCTCGGCCTGCTCCTAGGCTTCCTCGACGCCCTCGAGAAGCTCATCTACAATGCCGCCGAGGGCAGCGCCTTTGCCCTGCGTCCGCCGGAGAAGCCAGTGGCCGCCTTCTTTCGCCTGAACAACCCCACCTGCCAGTCGTGGTTCAATCGCATCCGCATCGGCGTGGTCATCATTGCCATGCATGTGCAGCAGCCGGAACTGGTCATACGCTATGCCCAGGTGAGTGTCCTCCACGGGGATTCCGTATATCCACAACAGTGCTGCCACTTTAGGGTGCCAAAAGGCATCTCATTAATGGTTAACAATGATAGCTCGTGGGTTGGTTTGTGATTTTTTGTGGCTTAAAATGCAAATCACCCTAATTATGCTCTCTTACTTACTTACTTACTACTTGACACAAATAACTGACAATCACAAGTGTTGTTAAGTGAAGCTGATGCATTATAAAGCACTATAAGTATTTTTTAATTAAATATTTGTACAATACTTTAAGATATGAAATAATGTTCTTATATTTCATGAATTCAGAATTCATGTTCCTTTTCAATTTAAGTATTTTTAATTAAAAATATTTTATTTTTTATTTTAGTTCAATGATTTGGCAATTGTTTTTTTGACATTTACATAATTTATAGCAATTACCAGTTACCATTTTCCAAATCTAGCGATGTTTTGCTTTGCAGGTTTGCAGATCTAACAGCACTGATCCACAACTCGATTTTCTCTGTTTTTGCAGCAAATCCTGCTCACGCAGAAGACGCAAGATGCCACCTACAGCCAGGCCATTGTGTACATGGCCTGGGCGTGGGTCAGTTGCCAGGAGGCGGACTCCCTGCGCGGCCTGTGCCTGTGGGCTCGCTCCAGGAGCAGCAAGTCCTACCAGTGGCTCTGCTGTGCCGCGGATCAGGCGGCCGGCAAATTGGAATCGGCACTGGCCGGCTACCGGAGCATTTTGGCCGAGGAGGAGGAGCGGCAGCAGCAGAAGCAGCAACCGGAGTTGGAGCCGCACACGCGACAGTTTGTGGTGGCCCAGATGATGCAATGTTTGCAGGACCTGGGCCAGTGGTCGCAGCTGGTGGAGCTGAAGCAGCAGCAGCTGACGCGACCCGAGGACCGGGAACTGAATCCCTTCCTGCAGCGCAGCAACGTGGAGGTGAGTGCCCTGGAACGGCTGCTGGCCAAGGGAGAGGAGTCGTATGCTTCGTCCATGGACGACTTCAGCGGAGCCCTGCAGCAGTTGAGTCTGTGGCCCAGTGACTGGGACGGATCTGGATCTGGATCTGGATCCGGAGGTGGATGTGGCTCCTCAGGTGGACGTGGCAGCTTCTCGTCCGTCCATGTGAGCCAGCGAACCGAGGACATGGTGCTGCAGAAGCTGATGGAGGACCGTTGCCTGCCCGATCAGGCCAGGAATCTGCTGGATGTGCAGTGGCGTGACAGCCTGCTGAACCCCAGCTGTGACCAGAGATCCTGGCGTGAGCTCACGCTTCTGCGGCACATTGTCCAGGGTGTGAGTGGCGGCCAGGAGTTGTGCCTGCTGCCGCTGAATCCCGCGGAGAGGTGCCAAAGTCGCTCGAATCCCATTAACAGTGCCATTCTAATGCGTTGCCTGGCCTGGACGCAGTTGCTCCGCCAGCACTGTGCCCCCGGCAGCTGGGAAACGCTTTGCTTGGACGCCGCTGCCGCAGCTCGAGAGGAGGGAAACCTACAGCTCGCCGAGAGCATGCTGGCCCAATTCTTTGGCCAGCCACTGGAGGAGATTGCCGCACAGTTTGCGGCACAGGAGCAGGGTGTGCCCACGGAGAGTCCAGAGTTGCTGCGTGGCTACAGTGAGCTGGTCAAGTGCCTGCATGTGCAGCAGTCGCAGTGCGGCGACCTCAGCTCCTCCGTCGATGTGTGTGCCGCGCTCTGCCTGAACATCCAGCGGAGCAGTCATCACCCGGAAGTGGGTGCGGATCTGTTGCTCAACCTGTCCGACTGGATAGCCGCCAGGACGTGCAATGGCCTGGCCACCGGCCAGTCGCCAGCCCTGCTCCAACTGCTGGACCAGCTGCCCGAATGCCCGCTGACCTGTGGCCCGCGGGCCAGCCAACCGCTGGCCATACCGCAGGCGGAGCGCCTGGTGGCCCGCCTCATCCATGCCAGCCTACAGCAGCGTCCCCACTGCGAGGCGGTGATCGCCTACGGCAACTGGTGCTATCGCTGGGGCAAGAAGATCGTCGACAGTGGCTGTGTGCTCACCCAGGCGGACGTGACGGCCCTCGGCCAGGTCCTGGACACCGCCCAGCCGCTGGACAACGACCAGCTGGGCGAACTGCTGCAGGCACTCAGCATGGAGCAGCCGCCGGCCAACTGTGCGGAGGTGTGTCCGGAGGCGACGCGTGCCCGGGACGACGAGGCGGCCAGAAACTGCCTGCGCCGGCTCACCCTACTGGCGGATAAGTCACCGGACGTGCTGGATGCCGTCCTTCAAATTTGGCGGCGGGCCATTGCCAACACATATGATTACTACAAGGATGCGGCACGCTCGTACTTTCAGTATCTCAGTTTGAAATCGGGATCGGTTTCGGTTTCGCTTTCGGGATCGGAATCGGGATCGAGGGAGAAGACAGCAGAAGGAGGAGGAGGCAAAGAACGTTACCATGTGGATGACAGCAATCTGGTGACCACAACGCTGCGACTGCTCCGGCTGATTGTGAAGCATGCCAGCGGACTGCAGGAGGTGCTGGAGCAGGGACTGCAGACGACGCCGATAGCGCCGTGGAAGGTGATCATACCGCAGTTGTTCAGTCGCCTCAATCACCACGAGCCGTATGTGCGGAAGAGCGTGTGCGACCTGCTTTGCCGTCTGGCCGAGAGTCGCCCCCAGCTGGTGATCTTCCCAGCCGTTGTGGGCGCCAATCGGGAGGAGCAGCAACAGCAACAGCAGCAGCAGCAGCTTGATGCAGCAGTGGCGCCCAGCACGGAGGATGCCTGCTGCTATGGCTATCTGCTGGGTGAGCTCTCCAAGCAGGCGCCCGAGGCAGTGCAGCATGTGCAGCTGATGGTCAAGGAGCTGCGCCGCGTGTGCCTGCTGTGGGACGAGTACTGGATCCACTCGCTGGCCCACATCTACAACACGTACGTGAGCCGGGTGAGTGCGTTGGCCACCGAATTCCGGGCCGACGACCACGAGGGCAAGAACAATCGCTTCAATGTGTGGCGGCCGCAGCTGCTGGCCGACCTGGAGCACCTGGCCGCGCTCACCGCCCGTCCGGCGGAGACCAGCTACGAGCGCAGCTTCCGCAAGCGCTTCGATGGACCCATACGCTCCACCCTGGACGCGTTGCGCACCCGCCGCTATCCGGAGGCGTGGGACAAGCTGAAGCAGCTCTACCACATCCTGCAGTCGAACATGATACGCGGCACGGGCAGCACCCTCAAGATGCAGAGCCTCAGTCCGGTGCTCTGTGGCATCGGACGCATGCGCATCTCCATGCCGGGCCTGGACGCCCATGGGCAGGACGCGGATCAGGTGTACATCGAGAGTGTCGAGGGCTCTGTGTGCGTGCTGCCCACCAAGACGAAGCCCAAGAAGGTGGCCTTCTACGGCAGCAATGGCCAGCGCTACACGTTCCTGTTCAAGGGCATGGAGGATCTGCATCTGGACGAGCGCATCATGCAGTTCCTGTCCATCTCGAATGCCATCATGGCCTGTCGCAGCGATGCCCCCGGCAATGGATGCTATCGTGCGCATCACTACTCCGTGATCCCGTTGGGCCCACAATCCGGATTGATTAGCTGGGTGGACGGAGTCACACCGCTCTTTGCGCTCTACAAGAAGTGGCAGCAGCGACAGCCGCCCCAAGTCACCGGAAAATCAGGAGCAGGCGGTGCCGTAGTCAATGCCAATGCCACGCGACGTTTCACGGATCTGTTCTACAGCAAACTGTCGCCGCTGCTGGCCAAGCACAATCTACTGGTGAGCGATCCACGCCGCCAGTGGCCCATCTCCGCCCTGCGCCAGGTGCTCGCCGAGCTGTCGCAGGAAACGCCCGGCGATCTGCTGGCCCGCGAACTGTGGTGCCAGGCGGGCAACGCCGCCGAGTGGCGGCAATCGGTGCGGCGGTATGCCCGCTGCATGTCGGTCATGTCGATGATTGGCTACGTCATTGGACTGGGCGATCGGCACCTGGACAACGTGCTCATCAACCTGGGCAGTGGCGACATCGTGCACATCGACTACAACGTTTGCTTCGAGAAGGGACGCACTCTGCGCATCCCCGAAAAGGTGCCCTTCCGTCTCACCCAGAATCTTGTGCACGCAATGGGCATCACCGGAATCGAGGTAAGCTCATGATCATCTCTTTCCATTGGGTGCCTCTTTGGAGGATATATTGTAGTGTGTAACAAGTAGAATGAAGTATATATATTCTTGATCAGGATCTAGCCATGTTTGTCGAGACTTTGGAATCTTTAAAAACCAGATAATTGGGATTTTACAAGCAGATTTACATGCTCTGTAACGTCCACAAATCGTTAATCTGAGACATGATAGCGAACGATATATATATTTATTCCGTCAAGATCTATCCATACACCAAAAATTATACAAATCCAACCAATATTTTAGAAATTATTGGCAATTAAGTTATTGTGACGTCACTTTATACTTGAAAAACGAAATTCATATTTTTAAAAGAGTGGAGAGAGAGAAATAACTGTTAGCTCGCGCTTAGCTTGCTGTGTTTACCCTCGGCAGATGGCGCCACTTAGAACCCGATTGTTGTGTTGTTATATTATATTGCATACTTATCAGTTCGCCCAGTTTCACAAATCTATATAATGGGTTAAACATGAGTAGAGCTCTAAAAGAAAATGCTTTAATTGCTATCATCTGAAAATAATCCTACCAAGTCAAGGGATGGGTATTTGGGTAATCCCGATGCTGATCACTGAGTGGCCTTGGACTTGATCTCCTGCTGGTAGCCCGTGGAGGAGGAGGTGGCCACCTCCATGCGGTGCTTGCTGTCCGCCGGCAGCTGATCCTCGCACTGCCTCGCCGACCGGCAGCATAGGGTTTGGGCGAAGGCTCGCCGGAAGCCGGAGTTCTTCCACGAGTAGATGATCGGATTGAGGGCCGAGTTGGCGATGGCCAGCGAGAACGTGGTCTTGTAGATCATCGAGCTGCTGCGGCAGATGCTGAACAGCTGGGCAATGGCCACGCAGAAGTACGGCAGCCAGCAGAGCGTGAAGCAGCCCATGATGAAGACCACGATCTGGACGCTCTTCCAGTCGGGATGCAGCAGCATACTGCGCATGGTGGTGGCCTCTTCCGTGCTGTACACCACCGACTGGCGCAGTCGCTGGGCCTGCTTGGAAGCCTCGCGCATGATGCGCCAGTAGACCAGCAGCATGCAGATCCAGATGATCACAAAGCCCGGCGTGATCACCCCGGCTATGTAGCCGGGCGAGAGGACCTCGTCGAACTCGCAGGCCTGCGCCTCGGGCCACCGGTTCCAGAACACGGGCAGCAGGGCCACCAAGGCACCCAGGCACCAATTCGAGATGATGATGCTGTAGGCCACGCGTCGGGTCATGTATCTGTGGGAGGATTGGAAGGATAATTAGGTACTCATCTTTTTTGGGGGAGCACAGGAACTAAGCTTAAAAAAGAAACTTAACAAACTACACTGCTAGAAAAGGGAATAGTACAATAAATTGCATATTCAATTGAATGACTTAAAATGAAAATATTTATATATAAATGTTGAAAATATGTGATTTAAAATGGCACCTATTTGTGCATTGATTTCAGTTTAATATGCTTTACATTTAAATTTCAATTATTAAAATCTATTACGAAAATACTTAAATATAAATCACAATTTTTATATATTTCAAATAACTAAAAACAGCAATGAATTCAAATCAAAGCTTATGATATTTAACTTAATCCTTATTTTTAAAAGTGTAAATTAATTGAATTAAATGACTGAATATTGAGAGACGAATGGTGATCAGTAAACATTTAGTATTTAAAATATTTATCAATAATTAATATGATTGATGAAGCATTGTTCTTCGTACACAAAAATTTGGCTACAATGTTTGCGATTTTTGAACAGCTGAATCATCGAATTTGAATAATGCTCTTGAGAAGTCTTGAATCATCTAAATAATTGAAACACATGATACACATTTTGTTAATATCAATTATTTTTAAGAACCTTTTGAACAATTGAATCATCGAATATGAATCATCTAAATAATTGAAACACGTGATACATATTTAGTTAATATATACTTATTTTTATATTATTTGGGATTTAAAAAACAAACTACGACATATAAACCGACTTCTGTAAATAGCTCTATTATGAGTAGAGTATTGTATTTCCCGTGGGCTACCCATTAAGCAATAGTACTTAGTATATCAATTACCTTCTGTAGTGCAGGGCGTAGACCACGGCTATGTACCGATCCACCGCAATGGAGATGAGGGTAAGCATGGACACGCAGCAGGCGCAGATGAGCAGGAAGAAGCGCAGCAGGCAGGGCGCCCGCATGGCCCCAATGTCGGAGCCCATGTAGAAGACCAGGTGGTAGGGCAGGGCCAGACCCACACAGAAATCGGAGACGGCCAGCGAGAGGATGAACAGGTTGGAGATGACCGATCGCAGGTGGCGGCAGGTGCGCACCGCCACGATGGTCAGTATGTTGCCGCCCAGGATGAGGCCGAACAGCAGGGCATTGATGGCCAGCCAGAGGAAGTGACCGGCTCCCAGGCTCGTCGACTGAACACCCAGTTCCGTGGGCGTGACTGTGGCATTTTGACGCGGCCCCAGGAGTCCGAGCGATGCCGGAGTACTCCGATAATCCCAGGCGGACGATGATGAGCCACTGGAAAATGACATTGCACACACACGACGCTAGAAACGAAGCGCACGCGGAGCCAGTGTGAAAGTATCTGGTGGCCGTGGGACTCGGAGCCGGAGCTGTGCGCTTTTTTTGGCCCAGGACTTCGGCTAGATTCGGAATCGGATCCAATTTGGGGTTCGGCTGGAACCGTGGGCGTCGTTTGTTTACGTTTCGCTGGTGGCTCCACGACATCGTCACCGCCAGTTAACTGATAACGCGCTCAGATCCAGCGTGAGAACCGCAATCCGTCGATAAGCCAGCCACTTTGGCCCGGGCCAACCACCCAACCACCCAACTACCCACCAATTGAGCCCCCCCCAAACCATTCATTTTCACCCATTTTTACCCATTTTCACCCATTTTTACCCATTTTCACCCATTGTCACCCATTGTCAACCATTGCCAACCATTTGGAGTGCCCGGACTCGGACTCCCGGGCCGAATCAATGGCCAAAACCGATCGCTGGGGGTTTTAGCAGATTAGCCCAGCTCCACAGACCAAAAATAGAACGATAAAGTCGGGGGCAGCAGTAACTGAGATACATACTATAGTGTACTACGCTTCGCAGAAACATCTTTCATTTGACAACATTTCCAGTAGAATCGATGGGGTCTTCTAGCCATTGAAATAGTATGCCACACAAGACCAAGGTTGACACAATAGTAATGTTTCCAAAGCCTTATCGTTTTACTAGAAGGTATCATATAGGTAAACCCAACAATTGACCATAAAATATTATCAGAAGCAGAAATGGATAGATATTGCTTAGACCTCTTTCCAAATACATGAGGTCTTTAAAATCCGATAACCAGTTACACAATTGCAGGCAACGCAGTAAATGATATTAGTCTATACATATATAACCATTTTGTTAGAAACATCTAGTAGAAACCTAAGTTTAAAAGGTAAATATATTAAATGCTAAACATATATGATTTCATCTCTTATGTATTCCTTATAGCATTGTGAATCTAAATTAAAAAGGTTAAGCATATGCATCTCAGATAATATTTATAGCACATCGTTTTCAAAACTCAATAATTATATTACAAAAATATTATCCAGATAATATCAATTAATCTGGGCAGATAAAAGTAGCAGATTCCAGATTTCAATGATACATTATCTATATATATATGTTTTTAAAGTCTAAAAACAAACACAATCGCAGTCAGGGCAGAAAAATATGCGTAGTTCCACATTTAAAACCATTTTGGTGGATACATCTAGTAAACACTTAAAAAAAATGAAGTGATATGATAAATAATGACATACATTATTTGGAAATTGATGTATAATGATATTTAGCTAAAATTAATAGATAATGTTAAATATCATATCATCTAAAGCAATAGTACTCAAATCCTTTCCAGATAAAACCTTTTAATTTAGGCATATGAAAAACATATACCAGATAAATAGAAATCGAAGAAGTTGTAAGTAAAGGTGCCCCTGCTAGTTCCCACCGTAATAATATATATGTATATTTGTCTGTTATCTTGCAACAGATGACACATATTTAGACTTAGCCACCCGTTACAATAAGCCATGCACTTTTGGCCTGTTTGATTTTGGCCACACCGCTTTGTCGTGCAGAACGGATCGAAAGCACAAGCCATCTGAGGATGGCATGGGCAAATGGATCAATGGGGGTAAATCTGAACCCCAGATATATGTGAACAGACATCATGGGGCTTATCACATAAATTACCATTGCCAATCTACAATTGTAAACAGCGATTAGCTTCGATGCCAGTGGAGGTCGTATATGTAGAACATGGTTATGGTTCGGGTTTTGTTTATGTTTCTTTTTCTGGTTTTGGTTTGGGTTTGTGTTTGTGTTCCCATGCAATCAGCATTGCTAATATATCGAATCGTATATCTGTACGATGTACGACAGATGGAAACGGTTCCGCCGTACATTTATGGACCCCAATGACCCGTTTATGGACACCCATATATATATCATCGCCTAACCTTTAACCACTAACCCCGTCTTCTTCGTCCTTTGCAGGGCTCCTTCCGGCTGGGCTGCGAATATGTGCTGAAAGTGATGCGAAAGGAGCGGGAGACCCTGCTGACCCTGCTGGAGGCCTTCGTCTACGATCCCCTGGTCGACTGGACCATCAACGACGATGCCCAGGCCCTGCGACGATCCCTGAATGCCAAGCAAGGAGCTGGCGGAGCAGCAGGTGGCCCCGGTTGCGGAGAACTCAAGTGTCACAAGAAGGACAAGAACAAGACAAAGATCCACGATTGGGATGCCAAGCGGCAGCACTTCCTCAGCAAATTGGGTGTTCTGCAAAAGTACTGGGCCACCAACAAGTAAGTAGCTTTATAGACTATTGTTTTGAGCCTTAAAACGGGGTAACTGCATTAAAATTTAAGAAAAAATCCTTTTTTAGACATTTTAAAAGGAGTAAAATTGGCAACAAATCGATTGGTATCAGGATTGTAAACAAATTAGGTAGTTTAACTTAGGGTTGGAATTAAATCCTTTGGTCTCTCTCTGCAAAAACATTGTTTGAACATATGAATTGCTTTAAAATTGTCTAAAATAATAATGAAATTTAAACTTTATTGTGGACCATACATATTCATAGATATATCATTTAAAAATCAGTTACTAATAAGTAAAATTTAAACCTTTAAGCCAACCATTAGTAAGAAACAAAATGAAACCAAATGTATGCCTTATAATGATGCATTATTCCTATAACCATGCAGAGGGTATTAAAATTTCAGTCAAAAGTTTGCCACGCAGCGTTTATAAATAAAGTATATGTATATGATCTTAATTAGTTTTAAAGCTTCCCAAAAGTCTTCTTTATTTTGTAGGTAGTTTACAAATCAGAAAAGGCCACATAAAAACAATTGGAAAAACTAATGAAACAAATTATAACTTCTTTGTTTTGAAAATTTTAGCAAATTTACTTCGAGATTTGCTGATAGTTTATTATGATTATTATGTATTTAAATTTATAAAAAATTGAAGAAAAAAGGAGGTATCTTTATTTTTATTTTTATTTTATTTATTTTTATTTTTGTAATATTTGCTAGGGTGCTTCTTGCCCAATTTTGCTTCCTTTCGTGTTTAAACCTCTTGGTTGACCATGAACTGCTTTACCTTTGCCAACTTTGCAGGACGGACATGATGCTACAGCTGCAGGAGATGAACCACGAGATGGGCAACCTGCAGGCGGCGCAGACCAAGCAACTGGCGGCCGAGCAGGAGCTGGTGGAGCTGAACCAGCGGAGCGCCCTCGTGTCGGAGATCAAGTCGCTGGGCACGGCGATGGAGAGTCACAGCTTCAACACGGCCTCGCTCCGTCATGCGGTGCGTCGCGGCCACTCGGAGGCACTGGCCGCACTGAGCGCGGAGCGCCTGGCGGACTTTAACCAGGTGCAGTGCCTCCTGGGCACCTACGGCCAGTGTCTGCAGCCGTACCACCTGACCGAACTGCACTCGCAGCTGGTGCAGTGGCAAATGGAGGCGGAGAACGATGGTGAATGCATGGAGTCGACTGCCTTGGCGGAGGCACTGCCGCTAGCCGGTTACGCCGGCATGCGTGGCCAGTTGGAGGAGCTAATGGGCCGGCTGGTTGTGGTGGCCCTGCAGAGCACAGAGCACCTGCAGCAGTATGCGGCGGTGATGAACTTCTTCCCGGAACAGAGCCACCGGCAGAATCTGTTCGTTCGCTTCCACGACAGCTTCGGGGCGTACATCCAGCAAAGCGGCGGGGCCATGGACTCGTCGGGCAGCAATGCCCATTCGCCATCCGGTTCGATTATCTGCACGGCCGACGTCCTGGGCGTGGCCGATGCCCTGGAGTCTGCCTGGATGCGGCTCAGTTGCCAGCTGCACGACGCCACGCAGCGCTATGCCGCCAAACAGGCGCAGGCCCTCAACCTGGGTGCCCCGCCCACTTCCGCCCTGCTGGCCATGATCGGCCAGAGCGGCTGCAGCCTGCTGCTGCTGCAGGCCAGTTTGGTACGCACCCTGGACCGAGCTGGCGGAGCATTCGCCGCCTACGAACAGGTGGCGCTGGCCAGCCAGGATGAGGAGCTGCTGCAGCACCAGCTGCACTTCATCCACCTGGTGCGCTCCATGTGCCAGGGTGTGCTGGCCCTGGCCGAGCAGGAGGATCTGCATCTGGGCCAAATGGAGAGCCTGCTGGCGGCACTGTCGCATCTCAAGCAGATGTTCGAGTACGATCTGCCGGCCAGCATATATCGGCTGCTGTTGCTGCAGCCCAATCTTGGCCAGCTGAGCGCCTTGTGCCACCTAAGTGCCTCCAGTCTGGGCCAACTGTATTTGGAGGCCACGCTCGAGAAGGAGCACCAGCCGGCTGAGGAGTTCCCGGCGGAGTGCAGATTCCTTCTGTCGCTGCAGCCCGCCTACGAGCAGTTCCAACTGGCGGCCAGCTCCTTGGCCTCGTTGGTGCGGAGCGTCAAGATGATGCTCGAGGATGCCCATGATTCGCAGGTCCAGCAGTTAATGGTAGGTGCATCATATTTTATGTTGTGTGTGTGTGTGTGTATTTTATGCTATGTTGTGTTTGCTAAAAAAAAGTATGTCACAGGTAAACATTTTTGATTAGGATCAATTAGCCGTGTTGACTTAGCCCATGTCCGCATTTCTGTCCGTTTGTCCGTTCGTAAGATTTCGTTAACTATGAAAGTCAGAGTTTTGGGATTTAACATGCATGCGCTAGCCAAGTTAATTTTAAAATATGGCCACGCCCAATCTAACGCCCACTAATCGCAAAAGTCTGTGATGTCATATGAGATTTGGGATTGGACAGCTGGTAATATGTATATGTTTGTTCGGTTAATATATATGGAATGGTACAAAAACGTTTCAAATCCAAACATTATTATAGAAATTATTAGCATAAATGTAAGTTAATGTATAGATGCTATTGTATTAAAGTAGTTATAATGCAGTTCGGTAGATTTAAATTGATAAATTTTCTTGTTTGTCCCAGGAACTGGGCCTTCTCAAGTCTGGCCATGTGGAGCTGGACGACGAGTGCTTCTTCGGACTGGTCAGTGAGGCACTGGAGTCCAGCCGCAGTTGTGATGTGCATGAAATGGCACGACCCGTGCTGGGCCTCGTCCAACGCCTCCAGGCGGAGAGTCTGGCTGGCCTGCTGCCGCTCCTGGCGCGCAACTTCTACACCGCCGTGGGACCGCAATGCCAGCCCACTGCCACCTGCGGCGTCCTGGGCGACGCAGCTCAGGCGGATCACCTGTGCGAGGGTCTGTTCATCTCGCTGCAATCGGATGGCGGACTGCAGCAGCAGCAGGCGGAGATGGCGCTGCTCAACCAGCAGCTGGAGCTGCACACCCTGGCGGCATCGGCCCAGCACTGGGCCTATTCGGAGGCCCTGGGAGCGCAGTTGCGCTGCGGCCACCACATCGTCAGTCGCCCCAAGCTGGCCGCCATCGTTGGCGAGGTCTGGCAGGAGCTGGACCAGAGCCTGGCTAGCCTGCAGCATCTAGAGGCTGGCCTGGGCTCCCTGGTCGAGCAGTTGCAGCCGCAGCGCAGCAGCTGGAAACGCAGTCACATCGAGAGCTTGCTGCGCATGGAGCAGGCTCGCAGCCACCGGGTGGCCGGCCTGGTGGCGGTGGTGCGCCAGCTGGCGGATGCGGCCAGTGCTGTGTCCCGGCTGGAGCAGCATGCCGGAGCCCTCGGCGAGGAGGGGCTGGTGCAGGTGGACCATCTGGAGCAGTGGCTGGCCGCGCACGGCCAGTGGCAGGCGAGCAGCTCGCGAATCAGCGCCGTGGAGCAGGCCGTGGTGGAACTACTGGACCCCGAGGGCGCCATCGATCCCTATTGGCTGGAGAATGTGCACGGCTTGCTGGAGGAGCACACGTGCAAGGTGCAGCGTGAGATTGCGGCCCTGGAAGGCGAACAGCAGAGCAAGCATCGCTTCATCTGCACTCTGCTCAAGGAGACTCTGGTAGGATTGTGTTTGGAAAAGCAACTACAATTTTGAATGACTAACTTCCCTATTTTCACAGCGCCTGCAGGACAACATGCCGCGCTTCCATGTGCGCAGCCTGTGCTCCGATGCCCAGGCCCAGGCGCAGGGTCAGGGTCAGGGCAAACTGGTGCCCACCGATGTGCAGCTGCTTGGCGGCCACTTGCGCGACTGCCAGCGCCTGCTGCATGCCCTCTTCCAGCGGCTGCAGGATCTGCGCAAGGATCTGTGCGCCGAGCGGCGAGGAGGATCGCTCCAGCCCGCCACGTTGCAAAGCTGGCGACAGCAGCTGCAGCTCATACTGCTGACGGCCAGCCAGGAGGTGAACGAGTTCTTCAAGAGCATGGACGACTTCCTGCAGCACGCAGCCGAAACGGACTCCTACGAGACCTTCACGCACTCCAAAGGTGAGCTGAGCAACCTATCTTCAAGGGTCTATTTCAGGGTAACCCATGAAAAATCGGCCAATTTTTAGGGCAATTTTTTTTACGCAAACTACCTAAAACGTTTTAAATGATCAATACATCACAAAATAAATACATATATTAAATACACTCAGGCAATTAGGTGCTTAAAAAAATATTAAGTCATTAGGCAAACGAAATGTGTGGTAATTAAATGTCCTTTTTCCGAAATTGATTTGCGGTGACCAACATTTTAGAGAATTAGATCATGTGAATTACATTATTTTTTCAGATTTTTAGAAAGAACCAATTTTAGCACTTCTATTTTTATAAAAATAACAATCGAACAATTGAAGACTACATTTTGAGATATTAAAAAGGCCTGATAAATTTTATAAAAAAAATCGTTTTAAGTTTTATGTCATCGATGTCTTTATTTTGATGACCATATATTTTTATGAATTTTGTTTAAGTTGCCTTGAAATTTTAAGAACATATTATTTACTTATTAAAAATGTTCTTAAATCTTGTTCTACTAAAATCTATCTTTTAAATAGAGAGTAATAAAAAGGGATTACTAAACTAAATCCGTTTTTCCAGGTGCCAGCAATCTGCACGAGCAGAAGCGCAATGCTTACGGCGTGTCCGTGTGGAAGAAGATACGGATGAAGCTGGAGGGCCGCGACCCAGATGCCAACCAGCGCAGCTCCGTCGCCGAGCAGGTGGACTATGCCATTCGCGAGGCCACCAATCCGGACAATCTGGCCGTGCTCTACGAGGGCTGGACGCCGTGGGTCTAGGCCTCCACAGTGGTCGGCCGCATTTTGGGCTTTTGACATCACCACGCATCACAACTCGGAGCGTATAGACTACATTCAACATTGGGGCGACCTCTGGACCGAATCGAATCGGATCGGATCGGATCGGATCTCTGGTCCTCCAACGGACCAGAAGCAGTCGCATTGCAGTCGCCTGACGGCAGACCGACTCGACTCCCCAATGAAGGCCGTGGCGGAACCAATTTGGCCACCGCCGCCAAATCCCAACCAAGTGTAGTTGCATAAACGATAGGAAACGGAAACGGAAAGGGAAACGGAAACGGAAAGGGAAACGGAAAGGGAAAAGGAAGCGAAACGACAGACAGACGGACGCGGAGATTTGTCGGACCGGACCGGACCCCGTGCTCCCTCGGATCGCATTCCTTCGAAGTGGACAAAACGAGTAACTGGTCGGATGCCGGATCGCCAGCAGGAGTAGCAAAAGTAGCAACAGCAGTTGCAGCTCACATAGCTCCCGATTCGCTATTTAAAACGATCTGGGCCTTACGACGTAATCGGAGGTTTCAGATTTTCAAATTACGTTTTCCGGTCTCAGCCTTTTGCCACTCGCAATCCTTCCTTTTGTTTTTGTACGACTTTTTTATATGCGATTCGATTATGCACTATATATTCAATTACGCCGTGCCGGATCTGTTTAATTGTGTGTTAAGCCAATCTTAGTTTTTTTTCCCCCCTTTTACTTTAGTGCAATTTCTGTAAGTGTGTAAGCCGATTGAATTGTGTCTCCAAATTATTAAATCTGTAGCAATATTAAAACTCTATATATACAAACCCCTATATAACCGAGATATCCACGCCGCCCATTCTCGTTTTAATTATTTCAATAAACGCAATGCTGAATACAAACGTTTTGACCTTTTTTTAATTCCCAGAGAGAAAGAGGAAGTAGACTGTAGACTGTTTTGTGGTATATATAATCACTCATTTATTTTCTAAAGTTCTTCTCGTTTCGCTTCCGTTTTACTTGACAATTGTTATCCTAAATCGTTTTTATTTGCTCTATTCGCTTTGGTTGGTTATAAAAGTTCAAATATTTTCTTTTACATTTTTTTTTTTTTGCTTTTGCTTCGATTAGTTTACCAATCTTGCCATCGGGATACAAAAAACCATTTCTCAAATATAACCAATATGGAAATTTTTGTGTTTAAATGTTAGATTTATATCGCTTTTGCATTCGCTTTTATTTTCTCGTTTAGCTTTGGAGTGAAATCAGTTGTATCCTCAATCGCTCAATGCAACGCTATAGTTATACAGTTACAATTTATATATATATATAATATACATATACAACGTTCTATATATATATATATGTATATATGCATGGTGTATGGGGTGTATATCTGTACAGTACATTAAAGTATATCATTTACAAAATAGTTCTTACGTGCTGCCGCCGTCGCTGCTGTTGCTTCGGTTGCTAAGGAAACTTTGGCGGATCATCGACGCAATCTTCGCTGCGATCCGGTTATCGATGAGCAAGGATAGTAAAAATAATGGGTAGTAGGTCGTAATTTACATACAATAATCATACAGTAATGATAATAAACGCACAGCTTCAAGGCAATCGGCGTTCCGAGACTAAAGGTCTGGTGGTGGCAATTGGTGCAGCCATTGAATTTAGCTGCCGCTGCATCGTTTACAACCAGCTCAAAATGTCTACGGATATCGGATGTATGGCCAGTTTGAAGCTTTTGACAGTATAAAAAAACAAAAAAAAATTGAACTGGATTTGTCCTTAGCTTTCGTTTGACCAGAACTTCACATTGACAAATTACAAATAATGGCGAATATTTAAAATATTACTCATTCGATCTCTGTCAATTAAATTTTTTTCTTTTGTTTAAACAAAAACACAAACAAAATGTTGATAACAAACATGGATATAAAAACATTACAATAATTTAAATATAACTAGCCATAACTAATGGATAAACACAAAGTGAATTGATTGCGATTGTTAAACAAATCTTAAAATACATCGAAATTGGTGAAAATTGTTTTCTATCTTCGTTACATTTCATTCTTATTTGAAGTGTTTTTTTTTTTTGGTTGCTTTGCTTTTCGTTTTCGTTTGTTTGTCTTCTAATTTAGCATAATTATTAATAGTATTTGTTATTGTTATTTTCTTTTTGTGTGTATTCTCTCCTTACGCTTGTGTTTTTTTTTTTTTTTTTTTGTGTTTATCCTATTTTAGTCCTGTTTAAAATAATAAATACATACATATACATTACAATTACAATTACATCATTATCCATAGTACAAAATATAAAATTTAACATCACATTGGTTGACATTCTTTTGTTGGTTGGTTGGTTGCTTCGCTTTACACTCCCTCGTCATCTTAATCATCTGGTTGTTGCTTCTTGTTGTTGTAGTTTTGTGGGTTGGTTGATTTCGTTATTTGATTTCTTTTTTTTTTTCATTTTTCTCTTACTCTGTTTATTATTATTATTTTGCCAGTTTAGCATTGTAAATTATTTTGTTTCAATTGATTTGTGTGTGTTTTTTTTGGGTTCCGTCAGCAGTCGATCGGTCGGTCGGTAGGTCAAATGATCGATGGCTCGATCCCACTCTTTAGATCAGCATTTTGTGGCATAGCCTCTCCCATCCTATATCTTTATCCTAAATCCTTAACGCTCTTTATTTTCAAGCTCCAGCTCGTCGCGGTGTTGAACAGCTGAAAGGGATGGGATATTATTATTTTTAACATTATATATCTTAGCTCAAAATACATATTCTTTAATTTAAAAAAATTGCCTTATGAAAATCTATTTAAAATTGATTTTACTTTTTTCGCTTTGGGGGTATATTGTCCTTCAAACTTTATATCTTTTGCTTTCTATGAAGATCGAATTTAAAGTTGCAAATGAAATTTGTGTTTGTGCAAGTTTGACATCTGATGACATATGAATCTTTGATAGTTAATTGTATTACAAACTGCTCAACATACGTGTTAGCTATTTGGTCACTGGGCCTGGGAATCTGTGCCCTAACCCAGCGATAAAACCCTCCTTCGCACCGCGTCCGACTGGCCAGTTGCAGTTCCAGATCCAGATCCAGTTCCATTCCTGCTCCAATACCGCTCCTCCTCGCTTGCATAACGCACCACACAAACAACTCGGCGAGCTCTGTAACACAGCAAATGCAAATGCAAATCCCATTATAATCGAGAACCTGCCCTTAGTATTCCCACAGCTGGTCGCAATTAATGCCGGTTACTAGCTTTATTTGTCCGGACAACCAACACATATGTGCCAATCGTGGGGGGGGAGCTTACCTGGCGAGGATTACTAATCTCCAGGATGCTCGGGACAGGAGCGATTCACCTCAAACCAACGGTCGATGCATCTGTGGGGGGTCACAAAAGTCGAAAGTATTGCATTTAGTAGTGGAAAGTCCCACCATTATGTCCACATACTTATATTTAAATTTATTGCCCCAAAGGGGTGAGTTAAGTGTAAAAACGCAAACTGAGACACTCCCCAATTATTCGCTATTGAGTCTTTGTTCCCAAGCGTTTTTATTTCTTTTTGCGGTTTATAGGGTTTTGTGGTAAAGAGTTCTCTTCGGTGGTTAATTAAATGATTACGTTAGTGATAAGGTACCTAATTCCCTACTGTGCAGTAATAACCGATTAAAAAAACGAGCTGCTCAGATAAGTAAGGAATTAAAATCAACCAACTTGTTTTAAATATATAAAATGATGTTTTATTATTAGAAATACTTGTAAATATTATTATATAAACTGTAAATATATTTATAATTAAATGATTGACTGATTAATATCTTTTAGATCCATTTTACCCAAGTTTCATTAAAACATAATATATTTCCAAACAACAACGATCTTTTAGATCGATTATAGCCTCAAAAAGTCCATCTACCGATACCTCATACTTAAACTTGTTAAACTTTTACTTATTATATTAGATAAATAGTGTATTGAATTTTAAAACCTCCTAGTTTGATTATTATTATATAAACATATTTATAAGAAAGTTCATAGGATTCTATTGATTGGATTATATCTTTTTTTTTTTTTTTTTACCCAATTTTCTTAACAAAATATTATATTTTATTAAGATCGGTTATAGCCCCACTTCCACCCCTAGTTTAAACTCACCCTTTGTGATATATGCAGAGACATGGCAGCCGGGCGATGGTGTCCCCCGGACTCAGGTCTTCAAGGCAGATGACGCACTCGCCCTTGGCGTCTGACAAAACATCCTCTGGAATGTGAACGCATATAGAGAAGGTGGGTAAATAAATATATACATATATTCCTGGGAATCAGGGGAGTTTGGAATTGCTGTATATGCATACCGTTATATGAGAGTCGTGGTTTCGTTAGGCACATGACTAAATGGCATTCAATGTCGTCCGGCAACACAAACTTATTGCACACAGGGCACTTGATACCTGCAATTATTCGGGGAGTTTCATGAAGTGATCGGATCAGGTGTAAAAATGGTACGATGGTACCATTTAGGACCACTTACCATTGAAGGACCAAATGTGCGATGGAAGCGAGGTGGCCGTGTACACACGGCCGATCCCATTGGCGGACGTGGCGGAAGCGGCCAGGGCGATGCTCTCGGCGATATTGCTGCCGGTCATTGACATGTCCTGTAATTAATGAATGCCGGAAAAGAAAGAGTAAGTGAAATAGGTGCCATGGTGCGTATACGTTATATTTAGAATATTACAATCTTACATGTACGATTATTTCAACTAGTAAAAAACTTTTATTTGCCTGTCTAAAAAAGCCATAGATGAAACTAAAATAACCTATGAGAACACCGATCTGTTTTTAAAGTTAATGTAAATGAATTTATTCCTGTTAAAGTAACTTTATACATAGATTTGTATTAATAAAATCAGTTTGGAAAATGATCTGATTAACAGCCATTTATTTTGAACAAAGCAACGTATACGTTATATCTTTCAATTATCAAATTCTGCAATCTAAATTACTTGATAAAAATAATATTTATTGGCCATAAAGTATGCAAATAATATAGTTGTTGATCTTTTACATATCTTTTGGGGGTATGGAATGTGCAAAGTATAAAGTAACAAGCATTCTGTTTGATCATATTATAAGTTTGAAATAAGAGTTTACCATAAACATAAACATAAATAGATATGTAGATTACGAAGAACTTTTAAAATACCTAAAATATGATAAATTAATAAAGCTACTATACAATAATAGTATTATATTAAATAGAAGCTAACTTTGGGGAATAATGAATTTGAAAAGCCATACACATAAATCATAATTGAACTAAAATAACCTGACCTTTGGAATAGCCAAAAAAAAAGACTTAAATAGATAGAGTACTGAATTCTATGAGATACTGACTGCAGGGCACAAGAGTTTCTATAGATGACTGAGGCCAATCTGATTTAAATAATGATTTTGTACATCATTTTTTTACTCATGTACTAATCCACGTTTTGACCTTTGGAATGTCCAAACTTTGTGTTCGATGAGATACTAACTAGTCACTAAATTAGATGAATGAATTCAGAATTCTACTCCTGTTCTAACCACTTTTTGACCCGTCGAACATCCAAGCATTGTGTTAAATGAGATACTGGCTACAGGGTACAAGAAGTTCCCATTAACTGGGGCTAATCTCCTCCTGAATCCCACTTACTAAACTGAATTCTAACAGACAGATATGCATGGGCCATAATTCTACTCCTGTACCAATCACCTTTTGACCTTTGGCATGTCCAAATATATAAATGAGATAGTGACTAAGAAGTTTCTGCAGCTGGACACATAAACACGGGGCCAATCTCCTCCTGAATCTCACTCACCCGTATGGAATCGCCCAGGGTGCGTCTCTGCTGCATGTAGGGCTGCGTGGCGGATCCATTGTTGTTCCCGGCGGCCGGGAAGCTGCTGTTGCTGTTACTGTTCGCATTGGCCGCGTTCGCCGACACGGAGACACCCACGGCAGGGTGGCCATGGGCCGCGTGCGGATGCGAATGCGGACTGCTGCCGGACGAGGTGATCGAGCCCACCTGCTGCTGCTGGGCCGCCTGCTGCTGGATGTCCGGCACGGAGCTCAGACTCCGCGCCCGCTGGCGATCGATGGACGTGGAGTTCTGATTGTGGTTGCTGTACACCTGCAGGCCGGGCAGGGTGCGCAGCAGATTGAAGCCCTGGCCGGCGTCATTGGGGCCGCCGCTGCCGCTGCCGCCACCGCCACGATTCTGGCCGGGATGCGTCGTCGGCTGGGCCGTGTGGTCGGCTGCTCCGGTGGAACTACTCGAGAATGTCCTGGAGCGAGGGCTCTGCTGGCCACTGGTCGCCGGAGTGCTCGCCTTTTGACCCATAGATGCAGGATACTACTGGATGCCTTCGGATCCTTTGTCGGCGTCTCCTCCCCTCCTGCGCCGCCTCCTTCCCCTCCTCCTCGGCGCGTCCTCTTTGTCTGCTCCTTCGCGTGCAAATCGGAGCAGACAACAATAGCAAACAATGCGATGTGCGATGTGCGGATGATAAATGCGGTCGGTTTTTTGTCGCTCGGTTGATAAGTATATATGTGTTTTGGTGTTTTTTTTTTTTTGATTCTTTTTGTTTTTTTTTTTAATGTGTGTCTCTGTGTTTGTGTCAAAAGTGCGGGCGTTCCGGAGGGCGTGGGGGTTGTGGGAGGCGGGGCTTTGGGGGCTGGCAAGGATGGGGGGCGGGTGTTAATGGGTGCGTAGTTGAATTAGAATTGTTGTTGTTATTGTTGCTGTTGCTGCGGCTGCTATTGCTGCTGCCCCGTTATAATTCGCCTGCTGATTGGGATTCCAATTCCTGTATTTCGCTGCGCTGGCTGCTCCAAATTCTACGCGCTACTGCTGCTCTCGCCGACAAAAAATAAAGGTGTGACGCGACGACGACGACGCTGCTGCCCAATCTGCCTTGATTACACTCTCAATTTAAATGACCGTTTTCATTTTTTTCTTTTATTTTATACATTACATTAAAAAGAGTTTTCAACAGAGGCGTGCAATTTACGATAGGCTGTCAATCGATTGTCGCCGAGAATTCTAATAAGAATGGTGGTGGTCCTGTATAGATATTCAGCGAGGACTCAATCCCAGACTGCGGTTTTTTCACTAAGGACATTTTCAGGGCTTTTTTTAAGATAAGAAATTTATATGAAAATTATTCTATTTGTTATATCTATGGGATATTCTTATATTTATGTGTTCTTATATTATAAACTCATTAGCGGGAAATAATTTAAATAATATATTATATATTATGATATTATTCTGTCAATTGTGGTTCTTACAATACGAGTCATTTACAAATTATGTTCCATATTCTTTTCGTATAGAAAGTATAGATGTAAAGATTGGTTGAAAGAATTATAATTTGTAATAAATGGTTCATTACATCGAGCGAGCACTGTAGTAAGCCGCAAACGGTCACTCTGTTCCATCTCCAGCTGATCTATCGAAAAATTAATCGATAAATTAGAAACAGGATTTTTGTTTTAATTATGTGTTCGTAAAGCAAGGAGATCCCAATTGGAAATCCACAGACAGCGCCACAAGCAGGGATTTGCATGTGCCCCCCAAGGAGCAGGCGATTGCAGCAGCAGCAGGAGTGGGATTAGGCCTTCGTTTTCGCCAGCCGCCTGCAGCGACGTCAACAGTATTGATACAGTGGGCATTGCGACTCCACAACCACAACCACATCCACATCCGCAGCCACCATGAGTTGGTTCGAAAAGGCCAAGACGGTGCTCATTGAGGCGCTGGACATCCAGGACGACGACAGCAAGGCGTCGGAGAAGGACTCGCCGGCCGCCGCCGGAGCTTCGGGCGAAAGTGGTGCACCTGGGCACACCTCATCCGCGGAGGCACAAGGAACTGCGGCCACGCCCCCATCGGAAACGCCCACTTTCTTCGACAATCCGCATGCCAACGAGATGGTCACCATTCCGCCCACGCCCACATCCGTTCCGGGCAGTGTGGCCGCCTACGGCAAGCGCCAGTCGGCCACCTCGGATTCGGTGGACCTGCTGTCCTCGCCGACGTCCCCGATCTCGGCCAGCGGCGAGGAGGGCGCGTCGGTGGCCAAGCGCCTGTCCGAATCCTCGCTGGAGCTGATCACGGCCACCACGGCCAGCGAAATGGAGATGTCCCCGGACACGGAGCCCTCGCTGCCCGACAGCATAGTGATCATCGCCAGCAACGACACATCCGACAATGCCGAGGGCGATGGCGAGGATGACGACGACGAGGACGAGGACGAGGACGGGGGCACGCAGCTGGAGCGGCACATGGAGGATCACCTGAACGGTGGGTACACTGCACTCAAGCAATCAAACGACTTTCTCACCATCTAATCCCCTGCAGACTCCACCAAAACCATGAAGGCCCTGGTGTTGAGCGACATCCAGGCAGCTGGGAATGCCGACTCCGATTCCACGCAAAGCTTCGAGGACATCCAGCTGCAGATGAGCCACAAGTCGGGCAAGTCGAGCAAGTCGGGCAAGTCGCCCGCCCCCGCCAAGGCGGATGTGGTGGACCAGAGCTACTCGTCCACCTCGTCGGACATCGAGATCATCTCGAATCCGAACGGCGACTCCAGCACCAACAGCACCACCACGCGCACCAGTCCCCAGAAGTTCAAGGAGCTGGCCGCTGGCAAGGCGGGCGGGCCCAAGCCCAAGGGCCACCATCGCGAGCCCTCGGAGATCTCGCTGCTGTCGGAGGACTCGCAGTCGGAGCTGGACAAGCTGGTGCAGCGCATCAGCGAGCTGAACCAGGTGATTGAGGCGCGCGAACAGCGTCTGCTGCAGTCGGAGCGCCAGAATGCCGAGCTGCTCGAGCGCAATCAGGAGTTGCGGGCGCGCGTCGAGGCGGCGGCCAACAGCGCCAACAGTCCGGACGCGGCGGATGCAGTGCAGCGTCTGTCGGCGCTGGAGAAGAAGTTCCAGGCCAGCATACGTGAACGCGACGCGTTGCGCATCCAGATGAAGAGCCTGCGCGACGAGTTGCAGGACAAGATACCCAAGGACGAGCTGGCCGAGTGCAATGAGATGATCGCCGGCCTGCAATCCGAGGGCGAGAAGCTGTCCAAGGAGATCCTGCAGCAGTCGACGATCATCAAGAAGCTGCGCGCCAAGGAGCGCACCTCGGACACGCTGCTCAAGAAGAACGGCGAGCAGATATCGCTGCTCTCCAGCGAGTCGGAGCGCCTCAAGAAGTCCCTGGCCGCCAAGGAGGAGATGGAGCGCACCCAAATCGAGGCCGTGTGCCGCATGACGGCGGAGAAGAAGCGTGTGGACGAGGAGAACCTGGAGGCTCGTGGCCGCATCGAGGATCTGCAATCCCGACTGGCCGCCCTGCAGGCCAGCTTCGATGGCCTCAAGGGCGATCTGCAGAAGCGCACGCGCAACGAGCAGGACAGCCTGCGTGCCGAGCAGCAGGAGTACGTGCAGCAGGTGTCCGATCTGCGCGAGAAACTGCGCCTGGCCGAGCACAGCCTGGCCAGGCGGGAGCAGCAGATGCGCGAGGAGAACCGCCAGCTGCTGCGACGCCTGGAGGCCGCCGAGCTGCGGGCGGAGAGCTCCACGCAGGAGCTGGGCGCCACCACCACACCCCTGATCCGCCAGATCGAGTCGCTGCAGCGCACCCTGGACCAGCGGACCGCCGGCTGGAATCGCGAGGAGCAGCAGTTGCTCCAGAAGCTGGACGACTCGCAGCTCCAGCTGCGCTCACTGCAGCAGCTGGAGTCCGTGCAGGGCGAGAAGCAGGAGCTGCTGCGCACCCGCTGCTCTCTCCTGGAGGAGAAGCTGTCCAGTGCGCTGATGGAGGCGGAGGCGGCCAAGATGGCCCTGCGCCAGCGGGACCTGGATGCGGCCCACACGGAGGCGGATCACAAGAGGTGCGTTCTTGATTTCTATAGCCTTGCAGAGGGTCAGGGAGACAATTGCGGCACTGTAAAGTATATATATTCTTGATCAGCTAGGGGAGTCGATCTTATCCGTCCGTCTGTCCGATTCTACACAAACTAGTCTCTCAGTTTTAAAGCTATGTGCAGGATGTATATAGATAAGAACAATTGAAAAAAAGGGAAATAGAAAGAGATCTCCATTGTTTCTTAAATTATGTACATCCATATACTCCGATGTATAGATGCTTTTGAGCAATTCTTTTAATATGTTGTTAATTGTATTACAAATAGAGTTTTACGTCTAAATAGGGTTTTTTTGGAACAATCGAAAAAAAATTTAAAAATTATAGGTTTTCTGTTTTTTAATTATTTGATTATACTTCGAGTTATAGTATTTCAGAATTAGCGTTTTAATTTTATTAAAATTGAGAGAAATACATTTATTTGAACCTACTACGAGATATAGTAATTCTTTACTATTTCGGAAGTAATATATATATATATATATATTATAAATTGAACAGTGACATCATATACATAGTTGTAATGGGGAAAGATAGCCAAAATATATCTAAAAACAGGCATAGCTTCACTGTACTTAAACATATACGCATAGAAATTGAAATATAAGCGTTATTAAGAATATTTAATTTTTATTAATATTTTTTATTTTTGTTTTTCGGCTTCCTCTTTTGTTCTCATCCATAAATTTTATATATTTTTTTTTGCCATTCCTGGCAGGCAACTCAGCGCGCTGCAGGCGGAGCTTGGGCAGCAGCTGGAGCAGATTGCCAGCCTGGAGCAGCAGTGCAGGCAGCAGCAGCAGCAACAGCAGCAGGTGGAGAAGGAGCAACCCAGCCTGCTGACCGTGGAGGCGGTGAAGGCCAGCAGCGAGCTGCAGCCAATGCAGATGCAGATGCCGATGCAGATGCCGATGCAGATGCCGATGCAGATGCAAATGCAAATGCAGATGCAGCTGCCCAAATCGCAGGCACCGCTGCGCTCCTCGCCGCCACTCAGTCTGGCGGATGACAGTGGGTCCAACGAGGAGGCCCTGGGCGGCATCATCGACTGGCAGGCGGTAATACCTAATACTAACTGAAGCAAGGTCCTGCCTCGCAACCGACTAATTCACTTGTCCATGCAGGACGACCTCGACTGCGCTTCCAACTCGGGCCGCCATCCATCGGGCATCGTCCAGGGTGTGCAGCTCAGCTTCCTGGCGGCCAACACCAGCACCTTTGAGCACCTGCAGGCGCTGCTGAAGCAACGCGATGGTGAGCTGACCCACCTGCAGTGGGAGCTATCGCGCCTGCAGGCGGAAAGGGGCGTGCTCGACGCCGAGATATCCAATCTGACCATCGAACTGGAAACGGTAGATAGAATTCTAACGTCTTTTCTCAAATATATTACTTACTAATCAGTTATGTATCGATCATTGTAGATGAAGGAGAAACTGCTGGTGTACGAGGTGATGGAGAAGGGATACGAGGACCTGCAGCATCGCTACGATGCCCTGCTCCAGATGTACGGCGAGAAGGTGGAACGCACCGAGGAACTGGAGCTGGATCTGACCGAGCTGAAGGCGGCCTACAAGCTGCAGATTGACGAGCTGCTGGCCGCCCCGCCGCCCAACCTCCAACGACCGCCGAAGCAGACATGATTGCCGGAGCGCAGGATCGTCTCCCTGCCCGAATTGCCATGCCTGCGGCGAACGTGGCCACCATAACGTTCCCGTCTCCGTCTCTGTCTCCGTGTCCGCTTCCGCTTCCGTGTCCCATTCCCAGTTGCAATGTACTATGCTTTATATACTTATCGATTAGCCAAGCGATCCGGATTCGGATCCGGATCCGGATCCACTTCCACTTCCACTTACCCATCCTCCAAACAGCAACCACAACACACACACACACACCATGTACATGCGACTATATATTTGTATGATTTGCGTACGTTGACACTTTCTAGTTATATTATGAATTGATCGATTGTGATAATTTAATTTATACTTATATATACAACAAGTTATCGTCTATGACTATGTACAAAACTGTTTCTGTTCCGAGCAGTTTGCCAGGCGGTTGTGAGGAAGCAGCTCCAACAGCCTCTTGCAAATAAATCAAATATCATTTAATACAGAGTAATCGCAACGCGCATTCCTAAGGATTTCTTCAATGGCCTTTTTTGTGCTGTGAGCTTGACTTTGGATTGGATTTTAATGAGGGGGATAACTAATTGATCATAAAATTAACAACTTTTTTTACATTACGATTTTTTGTGAAACTTGACTAAATCAAACATTTTTAGCTGTGAATGGCATATTAAAGAAAATGTTATAACAAATTTAACGCTGTATAACATTTTTGTTTTGTTTTGAATTTGCTTTTGGTTTGGCGGGCAGTACATTCGATAACATCGATGTCTTGAAAACACAGATAGCATCGATATTGGCATAACCATCTCTAATCGATGTTTCTCTACGCTAATCAATGCTTGTCCACCTCTATTGAACGTGCTTGTCACTTTTAAGCAGAAAAAGCCTAAAAATAAAGGAACTTTAACTAAAAAACTTAAGTTGGTTAATAATGGATTGTAATCCGCTGTCGCAGTTCAGCCAGCAGCTCCTTGCTTTCTTCACCCAGTCTGTGGATGAGGCGGAGAAGGAGTCGGCTTCGGCTTTGGCTTTGGCCGGCGATGCAGTGGCTCCGGTGCGCTTGCGCAAATGCGGCGACATCATCCGGAGCCACAACGAGGATCTGGCCGCAAACGGGGACCTCAGCCTGGCGGCCACCGCGCGCTACTGGCAGAGCTTTGCCAAGCGGCAGGGACTCCAGCTGCGCCTAGATGCGGTTGTCCTGATGCCCGACGAGGAGCAACGCGAGGAGCTGATCCGCCAGTCCAAGGAGTGGCGCTTCCCGCTCTGCGGGATCACGATGCTGCACAAGGACCGATATGGACTGCACTTCCAGCGCAGTCCGGTCATCGCCCATGTGCTGAAGGCCGTGCTCGTGCATGGCGCCGACTACGGGCGTCTCCAGAAGACGGAGCACTCGCCCACCATGTGCCTGCGCTGGCAGACCGATGCCGGAGCCACCGATGGCTCCCAGGAGCTGCGCCACTACCGCCAGCAGGAGCTCTACAAGATCGTGTTCCGGCTGGTCGACTACTCGCCCTGGCGCCTGGTCGAGGCCAAGGATCGGAAGGAGGACACCCTCTGCGTGAACGTTGAGGCCCAGAAATGCTGCCATGTGCAGCCCAAGGACCATGTCTGCCTCGTGAGTGGTCCTGTGGTGGAGCCCGTGAAGAAGACAGCCACCGCTTTGATGGTGGACGACTATTTGGAGTGAGTATATTCAGCCTTTAAATACTTAAAACTACTGGTTTTATATTATTCTTTGTATATTTTGTAAATTTCGTAATAACATAAGCATTAAAATAAGCATTATTTGTAATTTTAGCATTTTGATTTTTTATTAATCTTTATATTAAGCAAAATTTTACTTTATTAGGCTCTTTTTTTTGCCACTGCTAAAATGTACCAAAGTACAGGCACATAATTTATATTAATATGCAGACAATATGTTTTGAAATTTAAAAACTTAGTATTTGTTTTATTTTGCCGCATTCCTTTAGATATCTTTAAATATTTTACATATCTTGCTTAAATTAAATGCAATTTTGCTCTTTTTCTGTTCATACAGGCTGCGCTCCACGCACATGCATCTGATGGCCATGCACCGCAATGGATACCGTCCGGCCGGCATGTGCAACCTGGACACGCTGATGAAGCGCCTGGGGGCGGCTGCCGTGATCGTGGATCTGTTCGAGGTGCGCCACGCCTCCGCCGCCTGTGTGGTGCGCAACGGAATGGGCAGCTCCAAGGGGGCCTCGTACATCCTGTACAACTCGGCACGTCTGGAGACCCTGCTGCGCACGTTTGCTGCCCAGGTGAACGCTGGCGTCTACGAGCCACTGCCTCCGCTGGGGGAGATCGATCTCAGCGTTCTGGCGGATGATGTAAGGGGATGCTATTTCGTTTCTTTCAATTTGTATGTAAATGCGTGTGTTCCCATTCCATTTTTCCAGATGGACTGGCAGCTGATTTACGGCTACCTATTGACTTTCCCAGAGCTACTCGAATCCCTGATGGATCAAGTGCAGCAGGGACAGTGCGGGGTCCATCTGTTGGTGCACTTCATGGGCAATCTGGCCAGCGCCTTCAGCCGCTACTATCGCCACAAGAAGGTGCTTGTCCAGAAGCGCGATCAACTGATGCCAACTCTGTATGCCCGGGTCTACCTCATCATGGCCGTGCGTCAGGTGTTGAATGTGGCCTTGTCGCTGCTCGGCATCGAACCGGTGGACTATGTATAGATCGCCACTAAACGAGCATCTTGTACAACTTGCAAGGGAAGCCAAAGAAAAGCTTTTAACTTGACGATAACATAAATACTGTCTGAACACAACTTGGTGATGAATATCTGAAACCATGTGATATATTTAATATCTATTTGATATAGATAATAAGATTTCCATAATCAAATACTATGTTGGATGCAGGTCTCCACCTTTCCCATACTTATATTCTAATGCGTTAAAATAATTATCAAATGAAAGATGTTTGGTTTTATTTTTAAATAAACATATCTCTTATATAGTTAAGTGTTTATTTGAGTGGAAAATCAAGTATTAAGTTAACTTCTTGTGAATGCATATTTTTTGTCAACACGTTTTTGGCTAGTGGAATACAGTTTTTCCAATCAAGTCGAAGAAAGTAAAATACTTATAGATTCAGTGAAGCATTTTTGAAATGCCACAGAATTCTCGAAATGGATCAGCTCGAATGGAAACTTAAATCTTAATTGATTACATGGCTTTCTACAGTGATGGGAAAAGTGTTGGTGGAATAGAAGGTAATATATTAAGAAAGAATTTCAAGATTTTAAAAATGCTTTTTGGATCTGCTCCTGCCACCATTACTACCTTTACTTGACTTAAATTATATAATATATTAAAAAAAAGTATTTTCTAAGGTCTAATAAAATTTTAAATATTAATTAAAGTAATTTATTGATTCACTTCTCTGTTTTTATTTTTGAGGCAAGTCTACATAGGAACAACATGTATTTATTTATTTGGGTCAACTTAGGTCTTAATTTACTCTAATCAATTTTGAAATACTTTAATAAAATAGCGTGTAACTTAAATTATAGAAGAATTGACCTCTATGCACATAACTATTTTTATAAACTCAAATATTTAAAATAGTATCGACATTTTTCAATTGTTTTTTCTTGACATTGACTTAATTAATTTTGTAATTTAATTAAATTTAATTTATTTCAATGTTCTTTCTAATGCTACAAGTTAAAAAAGATATATTAATAATAAAAATACTACTACTGTTACTAGTTTACCCATACCAATCCCATCACTGTCCATCTATGGATATATGGATCATTAGATGTCTAACTTAGCTTTAAGGACTAACGAACGAATTGATTTGGCATATCGGTCGCTTGGCTCACACTCACGCACTCGTTTAGGAAACATTAAGCATAATACTATGTGGCAGAATCGCTGGTGGGGATCGGGTATGAGGGACCACTGCATGTGGATGATCACCTGGCCAGCAGGCCAGCAGGCTGTTGCTGCTGCTGCTGCTGCTGCTGTTGCTGTTGCTTCTGGCGATTGAAGTCCGCCGCAAACTGGATGTTCTCCGGACTGCTGAGGAAGAGCTGCTCCATGAGGCGCGTGCTGCCCAGGGAGTTGGCCTTGGTGCCCAGGCACATGTTGTACTGTGGGGCGTCCAGCTGGACGTCGCAGCTGATCTCGTGGTAGATGTGGACGAGCGTGGGATCGGGTGCACGGAAGACGCTCAGGCGGCGCCACTGCTCGGCGGCCTCATTGTAGTCCATGGCCACCTCGGCGGTGTTGGCCAGAAAGCCGCGCTGCCGCGTGCCCACCCGCACGATCTTCTCCAGGAACTTGACATCCTCCAGGCCCCAGCCGGTGATGTCCTTGTCGAAGCCGTTGATGTCCTCGTCCAGGATGTCCGACTTGTAGATGGCGCATATGCCGAAGCCGAACTGCCGGAAGTAGCCGCTCTCGTCGTCGATCCGTGGCGCCTCATCCTCGCCAGAGCCACCACTTCGCCTCTGCGGATCGTACTGACTGAAGACGATGGGCAGGTACACCTGCTTGCCGCGCTGCGTGTGCATCCGCACCCGTTGCAGCGTCGCCACCTCGAAGACCATGTCCACGTCGATGAACAGAATGATGTCCTCCTGCCGGATGTACGAGGATCTGGCCGCCACGTCCAAAGCCACGCCGCGCGAGAAGGCGCTGCTCCTCTGGATCCAGTTCACCTGCTGGTACACATGCCTGCCGTGCAGATCGTGGAGCAGCTGCAGGTGGTCGCCCAGCTCCTCCGGCGGGCCGAAGATCACCACCAGCAGGTCGCAGTGCTGCTCGCCGCGCACACACACGCGCTCGTAGGTGCGCAGGAAGCGCTCGAAGGTTCCCAGCCGCCCGGCGATCGGCAGCACGAACACGATCTTGTCCTGCGTCGGCGGCAGCAGTCCGCTGGGCATCGTGAAGTGGCTGCTCAGCCGGGCCATTCCGTTCTGGAAGAGGCTGCCCAAGAGACCTGCCGAAGGCGAATATACCCATATTATATAAATATATATGTATATACTTTGATATCGTTGAATATCCTGTTGTTTTCATAAATATTTTAATTTTAAATTTTAGCTTTGAGTAAAATGAAAATAAACTAAAATAGAAATCAAATGATTATACTGACTATACTGTCAAAACGTATAGCTGTTTACCCCTGATAGCATAATATTCTGATATCCAGTACTCACTTTGCTGCAGGGTGACGTTGTAGAAGTCCTCGTCGAACTCCTTGACAAAGATGCCAGTGAAGGCGCGCTGGACGTAGAGATGCCTTCGCACGGGGACCGTCATCTTCTTGCCGCGATACTTCTTGTAGATGAGCAGCAGGTCGAGGATGAGGTCCTGGCCATGCAGCGCGTCCAGCCGATGGTAGCCGTAGAGCAGCTCCCGGAACTCGATGACCCGACCCCGCTGGCGGGAGTAGTTGTTGATGTTCTCCATCACCTCGGTGATCACGTCCTCCAGGCCCTCCCGCATCGCCGAGTCGATCTTCTGCTTGGGATTGGCCGAGCTGGCCGAGTACAGGCTGCGGGCGATGAAGGACCAGTCCAGCAGGTCATCGGTGCTGCCGGGCACGAATTTGTTCAATTCCGGACTGATTCCTATTCATGAGAAGGAGGGAATACATAGGTCATAATATAATCAGATGGGAGGAAATCTAAGATTATAAATTATTAAGAATGTTAAATAAAAAATAAGTCAAGAAATTTTTAAGTAATGAGTTAATAAGTTTAGTAATAGCTGACTTAGCTACAAATTTTAAAATTTTAAAAATATAAATAAATATGTAGTTATATTTATATATAAATGTCCATCTAATTATTCCCATTAAAAAGTCTAATTGCAACTAATTTAAGTCCCGTCACTTAAATTAAAATTATAGTTGTTAAGTTATAAGTTTTGTTTGGTGAGATATATCTTGTTGCATTACATTATTAATATTATTTACATTTAAAATTTGTTAAATATTTTCTATGATTAACACAGTTCTATTTATTCAGGTATCATAAGACTGATCTGAATTAAGTTGATAACTCATTAACTTTCACTCCTTATCTAAGCAAATTGGATGATGCCAAATCGTGGTAAAACCCTATCCATGGACTCCCTGGAATTTGGGCCAATGCTAATGGCAAGCCGCCCCGGGTGGTGGTTACTGATATTCTGTTGGATTGACCTGACTTTGGGTAGATTCCCCGACTGAGTTGGCCCTTAAAAAACGAAAGTCTGACGGCGCTGACAGTCACATGGGATTGGCTGTTACACAGGGCATAGAATCGCAGTCGAGATGTTGCCCCAAGACAAGCGAGTGCCGATCCGGCTGATCCTGCTGATCCTGCCGATCCTGCTCCTGAGCCCCACCTTGTGCATCCCCGTACGAACAGAGTCCGTGGAGGAGGAGCAGTGGTCCTCCTTTTGGCTGCGTCAGGCGCAGGATCAGTTGCGCGAACGTCTGGCCAGGACCAGGGACTCCATTACCGATGGCCGGCGGGCCAGGAATGTGGTGATGTTCCTGGGCGACGGCCTGTCCATTGCCACCATGACGGCCGCTCGCATCCTGAAGGGTCAACGGAGCGGCGGACGCGGCGAGGAGGCCCAACTGGCCGTGGAGCGCTTCCCCTTCGCCGGACTAAGCAAGACCTATTGCCTGGATGAGCAGACGCCGGACTCGGCCTGCACGGCCACCGCGTATTTGGGTGGCGTGAAGACGCGCAGTGGAACAGTTGGCCAGAGTGGCGGTGGCGAGCAGGTGGACTCCGTCCTCCAGTGGGCCCAGCGTGGCGGCAAGGCCACAGGTGTGGTGACCACCACCCGGCTGACCGATGCCAGTCCGGCCGGCGCCTACGCCCATGTCCGGCGGCGTGGCGAGGAGCTAGAGATCGCCCGCCAGCTGGTGGAGGAGGAACCAGGTCGCGCAATGCACGTGATCTTGGGCGGTGGTCTGGGCAAATTCGCCAATGAGCGAAGCGATGGCAAGGATCTGCTCGCCCAGTGGCGGCAATCCCACCCAAATGGCTGCTTCTCCAGATCCCTGGCCGAGTTGAGGAACTGCAGCAATGGAACTGGCGACCTGCTGGGCCTCTTCAGCGACAATCACATGTCCTATCACCTGGCCGCCAGCAGGGAGCAGCCGCGCCTCAGCGAAATGGCAGCGGTGGCCATTGAGAGGCTGGAGCAAAAGTCACGGGAGGCGGCAAACGGTGGCTACTTTCTGTTCATCGAGGGCGGCCGGATCGATCATGGACACCACGAAACGAGGGCGGGCTACGCCCTCGACGAGATGCTGGAACTGGATGCGGCAGTGGAGGCGGTGGCCAAGATGACCGATGCCCGGGACACCCTGCTGGTGGTCACCGCCGATCATGCGCACACCCTCAGCATGGCCGGCTATGCGAGAAGGGGCACCCCCATCCTGGGAATGGACGAGCAGCAGCGCGATGTGAACGGAGTGCCCTACAGCACCCTGAACTACGCCATCGGCAAGTGGCAGAGTCTGGACAAGGAGGGCCGAAGGGAGAGTCCCGCCAGGACGCTGAGTCCAAGTGAGTTATATACAGTTATATATATAGTTAATATAATGCTTTTAAATCGATATATGATTGGGTCCCATTTTAAATCTCATATTTCCCACATTATTTTAAATATAATTAAAATTTCTACCGAAAATATGTGATTTATGGCTTATAAACATACATCAACCCGCCAAAAATTCTTGAATTTTAAGCATTATCTAAAAGTGCATAACATTACAATTAATTTAAGTATTACAATTTTTTCAGTTATCTCAGTTAAAAAAATTGTAAATCAACTAAGAATTTGTTCCTGTAAAAACTCCTACCTAAAATGAGACTTATGCTTTATAAAAGCTTTCAATTCATTGGTTTAAAAGTGAACTACATATTTTGGTACTCTTGTTATGGCTTTATATATATCTGAAACCCCTTTTTTGCCCTTGACAGCCTCCTACACTCCCAGTTATATTCACGGACGCAAGGGTGTGCATTCTGGCGAGGATGTGGCCGTTTTTGCAATGGGACCGCAGGCGCATCTCTTCGGTGGCGTTATGGAACAGAATCTGTTGCCCCATCTGATGGGTTATGCCGCCTGTCTGGGCAGTGGAATCACCATCTGCAACCACGACCAGGATACGGTTGCGGATACGGATGCAGATGGTGTTGGTGACCAGCTTAGGGTCACCTAAAACCTTTCCAGTTCCACAGACATTTGTAAATTTTTGTTCTCAGTTGTTTTCAAATATATAAAGATTTAATAGTCCTTAACAACTATATAAGTTGCTATAAACACCTGGACTCACCCAATATGTTGTGGTCCTGGAAGTGCCTTTTGCCCGAATCGCTTTCCGGTGAGACGCTGGGCAGCATGTAGGTGCTCTCGTCCGGAACCTCCAGATACTTGGCCATCCGCTTGATGTCCCGATGCAGGAGCAGCGACTCCTGGCGCATCTCCTCGGCCTTCAGACCCTATTGAAAAAAAAACATTAATAATTACAGTTTAAATCGATTTTCTTATGACATATATATAGTAAAGTACGACCCACCTGTACGTAGGAGTGCAAGCGGTACATGAGTGGCGCCTGTTTAATGGGATGCAGGGTGATGGCATTGTGGATCTCCTTCCGTTTCAGTTTTCCAGTGTATGCATTTCGGCCGCTTGAGTTGTGCCGCAGGATGTACTGCATCTGTGGGTTTAATTAAAATTACAATTTTACGTGGAATAATGGTTTTTTTCTGATATGAAACAGCAATTGAATTCGAAGATTCCGCTGTATCTAAAATAATAATTAAAAATAAATTGTATTTAAACAACAGTCCAACAATTTTTATAGCTTCAATAAATAAGATTCTTTGAATATGGGATCTTGTTTAGCTAACATTAAATAATTATTGGGATGAATTTTTTGAACTAGCGATTCTGAAGAACTCGTAGCAAAAATAAAAACAATAATAGTACTTCTAAGCTTAGCGATTCCTAAGAAAGCTTTTTGTTATTACTTATTCCGAAATGCTATTAAAGAGTATAACATAAAATGTAACCTTAAGCATGATTTTAATTTGAAAGTCTAAGTCAACTTGTGAAAATCTTAGGCTAAATACCGGTAGAACTATCTTATTTAAAGTTTTATTTTTAATTTTAATTTTTTAAAAAAATATAAATAAGACTTCAAACAAAATAAAACAAGATAAAGCAGCAGGTAAACGCACCTCGTAGTTCCAGGTGCAGGGAATGCCGGCGAACTTCTGCACGCAGCGGCCCACCTCGACGTCCTCGTGGGTGCTGTACAGGTTCTTCAGGCAGGTGGGAATGTGGGGCGCCACGCGGCGCAGGGTCTCGCTGCTCAGGATCACCCCTGGGCCGCCCATGCAGAAGTTCTCGTCGAACTCGAGGGACAGCAGGCCGAACTCCTCGCTGTTGCCCTTGCCCGCCTGGCCGATGAACTGCGGCCGGGAGCTGTCGATGGAGCGCAGGAAGCGCTCCAGCTTGGCCGGCTCCATGTAGACATCGTCGTCCGCCCGGATGAACCATTCGAAGCGGTCGATGTAGTGCTCGTACATGTAGTACAGCATCATGAAGCTCTTCTTCTGCGGCGGATAGCGATCGTCGACGTTCTTCAGGCCCACCACCGGCAGATCATCCGAGTAGCTGCCCTCCGAGCTGAAGAAGGCCATCCGGCCGGGCACCTCCTTGCCCCACGTATCGTACACCGCTCGCGCCCTGCCCTCCAGGAAGCTCTTCGCCGTCATCACGCCCACGAAGACCAGATTACGCTGCGAATTCTGGATGCTGTCCTCCTCCCGCAGGCCAATGATCTCCGCCGGCGACTTGAGGTTCGTCGGCCGCAGGCTGCACCGCTTCACGATCTCCAGTGCCCGGTAGTTCTTCAGCACGGTGCCGATGCACAGGCCCAATGCGATCCCAAAGCAGGCGATGATCAGCGTCTTGCGCTTCGTCATCGTGTGCTGCAGCATCGTGGATTGTGGGTGAGAGTGGGAGTGGGAGTGGGATTGTATTGGATATCCCGGCTAATCCGGAGCCAAATCGGTGGGGTTCAGGTCGGATGGGGGATAGTGGCAGTGGCAGCACTCAGTAGGCGCCGTTCATGGAAATCTCTGCGTGGGGAAAAACAGAAAAGGGGAGCATTGCGTAAATGAATGGCACGTGCCGCGTCAGCCGGAAATATGTATTACTCATCTGGTCAGTCCTATTCCTACGCTGGACAAAATTCGATCAATTTCTAAACACATACACATATGTATATTCAAAATTAAACAAAAAGATCACTCTTCTTTTAACACAACTAATATATCTACATTGTTGCTTTATTAGGGCTGTTGTAATAAAGCATTTAAATAATTAAACCTCAAGCTTTTATTTAGCTAAATTTTTTCGTTTTAAGGAACTTTTCTGCAATGTTGTTTTTTTTTTTAATTTAGAAATTATATTATGATTTTAAAAAATTAATAATTAAGATTTGTTTATGTCACTTTGAAATAGGACTCCAGATAGAGAAATTATGGACTTGAAAAGGCTTTAAAATGCAGATTTTTAGAGAGTTCAGCCAGAAGCTTTAACAAGTGTACCAAATCGAAATCGGATTTACCGAGCCCGATAAATCTTGTATTTATTATAATCATAAGTTCTGAACAAATTCTAAACAAATTGAATGTAAAAATATGTTTTTCACTGTATTTGCTCTTCAGTGTAACAGAAGTAATTGAAATAAATTTCAGGAGGAGGTAAAATTTGTGCGGGTAAATATAAGTGGTGGTTAAAAGTCAACTCAACTTCATATTAAATAATAAATTCATTAAATTAAAATGTTGATTTGGTTTTCACATTTGAAACCTCCATTCCTAGCCGTTCCACAAAAAACCCAAAGAGCATTCAATTGAACTCTTAATTAAAAGTTAGCATATATTTTCACATTTTTATATTTGGTTATTGCACAACAATTTTAAAGTATTTTTAAAGTAACAATTTTAAAGTATTTTTAATTTCCTCTTCTATAAAAACAAATAATAAAAAAATTAAAGATAAGCCAATAACTAAATAGTTTTACCGACAGTATGCTGAGTTATAATAAAATCCCGAAAATTCCCCGAATTCGGATTCCATTTGCCCATGATTCCAGTTTAGACGCACTTGCTGCGTGAGTAAAATCGAAATTTGATTTTTGAGTGGTTCCACAAATATTTGAGTTTGTACTTTGCTTTCTTGGAATTGTTTTCCATTAGCCATGGACGCACTGGTGTGGTGGTGTCCGGTGCACGGTGAACGATTCCCATTCCCCCAGCCGGCAATCTTCGAGAGACGCGGACACTTGAGCCGAGATTGAGATTGAAAATAAACGGGGTGCCCCGTGGGGAATCTAAATCTATTTATAAATTAAGGCGATTGCATTGGCGGTCCCGGGTTTAAATTGGACATCGTACGTTACGTACAATTGGTCGGGTACCACGTCCATTTGTCCGGAAATTTTCGAACGGACACCTTGCGAAAAGTGATGGAGATTTTGGCGCTGATTTCACTTCTCCAGTGCGTTCACCGTTCCACCGTTCACACATAACCATATGCTAATTAAATAAACAAACAGCTCGGGAAACTATTTGGTTTACAAATCAAAGGCCGGCAAGCGTAAACTAGAGCACACATCAGAAATAAACGGAAGGCGCTGCCATTCCATTAGCTTTTCAACTATTGGTTTTCGGTTGAGGAAAAAAACAACGTTGGCATTCTTGCTTTAATTTAAAAGCAAAAGAATGATAATAGCACTATGTATTGGTTTTTCGTTAAAGAACAAATTTGTGAAGCAACTGATACTGGGATAATGTTAATACTTTTGGCTACATGAATTTAAATTGAAGTTTTCGTAACACTTAGCTAATCTCACTATTTATTTTTAATATTTATATATATATATATATAAGTAAAACAGTTTTATTTTTTTGGACATCATTATAACATTGCAAACTTAATAAAATAGTCCATCAATTTAAATTAACAAGAATTTGAGTTTGGAAAGTAAAAGCTTAAAAAGTTCAAAATTGCTTGGAGGAGTTTAAACTAAATAAAATTTAAATGGTATGTGTAAGTAAAAATCGAGTGATAAAAGTTTTAATTGATAAAATTAATAATAAAAGCATCTAGTTTGGTGGGTGGCTATTTTGTGAGGTCTAGTTCTTTTCTGTGTAATTTAGCATGGTCTTGACGCACAAGCTGACCTTCTCTCTATTCCATTAACTGACTCACCTGTTCAGGTGCTACCCTGTGGATCTTTTAGTGGTGCCTCTTATGCAACATCTTGCACAACATTGATCCTAACTCGGCTTTTATTTTGTATGTCCCACTATCAAGTCGATTCCCCATCCCCGATAAGGTTCCGCATTAAATTCTATTTTGATTTATTGAGCGTTTTCGCTCAGACAGATAAGCCTCTGTTTTTTAAATAATCGGCTCTGCCGGTGGAAGGGTATGAGTATAAGAAGCCAGGCAGACGCTAAATTCGTTGAATGAACTTTTTAATGCCCAAGTGTTTGAGTCTCGGTGCGGATTCTCGAACCTTGACAACAAGTTGAGGCATTTAAGCGGTCTGACGTCTGAGGTCTGAGTCTGAGTTTGAATCTCGAAATTTTGCCTAAGGCTGAGATTTCTGCTTTCGATAGTAGGTACTTTCGCGTGGCAAAAGTAATCTACTCGAACGAAATAAAATCAGCATGTAACAAAATTAGTAAACAAACTCAAGAATCATATATTGTTGAAGCAAATCGGAGGTGAATGAATTTGATAACGGCCCATATGCAAGCCAGATTTTAATGGTGTATATATTTTAATTGGAATAATCAGAGTTTGCTAGGAATTTCTTGTGAGTTTTGTGATTGAATAAATTCTTAAGAATTCGTATCCAAAATTGAGTGCTGACTAAATTATACTTTATCTATTAATCAGTGTTGAAGAAATTAATATTTATTTCTACGTTTTAAGGTACTCAATCTACTTTTTATAATGTTTCTTTTGGCGAGACTAACTTATTATTGGTTTTACTGAATCAATTAAAAATACAATTATCTTAAGCTTCTTGCTTAAATTGTGGTCTACTTATACATATGCCGTAAGAAAAAGATACATTTCCCCGAATTAAGCTAAATATTCTCGGGTATCGACCTTAATTGAAATACTTAACAATACTTAACACACTATTCTTAAGTCACCTGTTCCTAACCGATCAAGTTGCCGTCGACTGCAGATTTAGCACTTTTTTCCTCTTTTTCGCCGTCTTTACTGTGTTCGGGTGGGCCGGCTGTTGGGCCCATGCAATTCGCATCGATCGGATGATCGGGGAATACTTTATACCATATCCATATAGTATATGGGCTATATGGAGTATCTGAAGGTCTGCGGTGGACGGTGGACGGAGTATCTCTTGAAGTGTTGCTCCTCGACTGTTGAATGTTGACAATTGGACGGGTCGTCTTCGCAGTCACCACTCACACAAACACACTCTGGCCCAGACAGCACACACACACACTCGCTCACAGATACCCGGTCGCACGCACACACCGATTATTCAGTGAGCACACAACAACAACACACGCTGTTTAATTATTATTAGCCCCCGTTGTTGTTGTCATTGCTGTTTATTTTGTTGTTTTTTTTTTTTTTTTTTGCTGGTTACGACGATAAGTTCGCAAAGGTCGATTTGGGAAAAAAAAAACACAAAAAAAAAGGCTAAGATAATAAAACTCTAGCAAACACGCACAAAAAATAATTAAAAACCACCTGTTATTAAACCAATTTCATAATATGCAATTTCACTTTTTCCCTCAAAAAACGATGAATTTATTTATTTAACAAATTATTGTTTTATTGTTGCGTTTTTTCATATTCAATATCATTCTCATTTTCGTTTGCGTTTTTGATTCTTTTTTGTTTTCTTATTAAGCGTTTTTTTTGGGCCCGGTGCAAAGAACAAACGTCGAAAAACGTTGAATTTCGTCCAAGAACTAAAGATCCGCTCCGATACGAAAAGTCGTAGCCATTAAGCAGCGGTGAGCGTGAGAGCGTGAGAGCGACTAGAGTGAGCGGACTAAAAATGAGAGCGACTACACTCAAAAAACAACACAACTAAAGCGTCTCTCAGATACTTTTCACCTCTCTGCAGCTGTCTCTGCTTGCGCCAGTGATGGCCACGTGACCGTGACTCTAGCGAACGATCACTGCGATCGAAGGCATTAAAGTTATATAGCCACATAAATAAGTTCACATAACAAAAACTACAAAATACCTATCACTAAATAACTCAAAGCCTACCACGACGTACTTATCCCATTAAAATGCAATTCAAGTATTGGCCATTTTCCTTTTAAAATTGTTTTTTTGTCAGATTTTTATAAAGGATAAAGTGATGTGATCAAGCAAATGATCACGAAAATCAAAGGAAGTACAGTTTTTATTAGGACACAGAAAAAAGTTAAAAATAATACCACATAGTAAACAAAATATATAACATATTGCTATATCAATCTAATTAGGAGCATGATCAAAGAACAATTGCCTTAATATTAGTATTAGCGTATTTTTGTTATGTGCATTTTTACGCAGAGTAATTTATATATGGAGCCTTAGAACTTATTGGTATATTTTTGTTTATTGATTTTATGAAATAAATATATGTAATATAGTTATTTGTAGCCCCTGGGCAAAATAAAGCTATAAGTTTGCGAAAAGTCCGAGTCACACTTTTTTTTGTTTGCACCACCACCCGGCTTCGGGTGTGAGTATCTGTGTGTTTGCCGAGAGATGTGCGTATCTGCATTTGTATCTGATATTGCTCATCACACCGTTCGCTATCTCTTTCTCTATCTCTAGCTCTATCTTCCCCATGTGGTGCGCGATGTGCGGTGTGCGTGGTCACGGCAACATGTGGCTCCGAATTGCTTGTTTTTGCTTCGTTACTCCCGGTTTATAGTTCGCGGAACTCACTAAAAATTCGTTAAGCCGAAAATAAATAAACAAACTTGCGGTAGCATTAGAAATCTTATTTCCATCTTAAAGTGCAATCATGTTAGCGAAATTTGTAATGATAAATTATAGCCTTAATAAACTAAAATAATAAATTCGATTTCAAACAAACAGAATATATTATTACAAAGCGGAAAACTATGTATGTCCTTAAATTATTTTCCAAATGTGATAGTAGCGATGAGATGTTTTTACCCGGAAGAGCCAATGGATGTTGATATTTTTATGAAAATAATCCAAAAACAAAAGTCAGGCGACAAAGTAATAAGGAGAAGAAATCGACCCGAAATTTGGCGGATGTTTGGGGCATAGTAAGTGGCCCTGCTGCTGCTGCTCATGGTTTTCCACTGGTACATGTGCGGGTCAGAAATTACCAAAAAATTTATTTTTTAGTGTGCCTTGAAAAGTTAACAAAGGCTTGAGTCTCAGTTACCCATGCCATAATGGTTGCCTAGTCTCACTGATTTATTCAGTCATTCAGTCATACAGAAGGGAAGAACACCTTTCGTAATACAAGGCAAGTATTTTTTTTTTGTGTTTTTTTTTTTTTTTTTTTTTTTTTGTTTCAAATAGTTGTTGCAAAGAAAATATGTGTGATATGAAGTAAGTCTGAGCTCGGCAAGAAGATTCTTTCACATTCTCACAATAATCATTTGCATGCCCTTCGTTTCACCATATTTTCTTTGCGGCACTTTCTGTAACCAATAAGATAACACTAGAATACGCAGAAGTATCACACAATGGCGCCTGTTTTGAGAAAGAGACCTTTGAAGCGACCAACGCCTGCTCGAGGCACTCGAAACGTATACGAGAACTGTTTGGCTTCGGATCCGTCGACTTTTACCGTCCGGGGTGGCGCTCATTTTCCCTCGCAGAATGCTAATGGGGAAGATAATATTCCTAGATCGAGTTCACAGCAACAGGGAAATTCATATGGGCGATATATGGCCGAAATAAACGAAATTTCCAATATCGGCGTGTCGGTAAGGAACAATCCCTTTGCCAAAATAGCCTTTCAAACTAAAACTATTCCCTGAAACTAATTTCCTCCGTGGAGAATCGTGACGAGATTATGAATGCGCTTGGAGCAAAAACGACCAAGGAGAAAGGCGTTAAGAAAGTTTCGAAGAAGCCTAAAAAAGCTAAAAAGAAGAAGCCGTTGAAGTCTTTGAAAGCAAAGGCCAAAAAGCCGAAAGTTCAGAACAAATCTACTTATGCTAATTTTCCGGAGGAACCCTTTGAACTTCCTGAAAGTAGCAATAATATGGAGCCAATGCAGCAGGATAACGTTGGTCAGATCCAGGATTCGACGATCCAGAATTCGACGAACAAGGATTCGATTGGTGTTCCAGAGCAGAGCTCGGAGTCAAATGAAAAAAAGGGCGGTTTCATAGGTTTCGTAAAGGGTTTATTTTATTAATTGGTTAGTTTTCAAATTGTAAAAATTCAAAAATTAATAATGTTTAATAACTTGTCGGAATAAAAGAAAACAAGTATTTCAGGCTAACTCTCAAATTAATTTAGCGTTTTTTGAGTTGTTCAGCAGATTGTTAAATGATTTAAGTAACTCTGGTTACTTTTCAGTTGTGAAATAATAAATATCATTTTTAAATAAAAAAAAATAAATATAAAATTTAATTGCTAATTTTAGTTTATTATTACTACCGTTTTTAATGGAATTCGATTGACACGAATGTAAATATTAAGTCGGCTTGAATATACATTTGCTAGTGAAGTTATACCATAACCAGTCAGATAATATAATTAAATTGTTCAAATTGCTTTAATAATCTGTATAAATGGTACGAATGATTTTATAACGCGACAATGGCGTGAACAGGATGCAGTAGAAGTTGCAGAAATTTACTGTATGTTTGATTTAAAAAAACAGAGTAGGTTATTCGGTTTCAAAATCTATTAAAATATTTTTGCCCCAAAAATTGAATTTAAATTAAGAACCATGGAGCTGATGTTAGAATAATTATAGCAGCTAAAAAAATTTTTAACAAGCAACTAAGGTTATAAATTTGGTGAGTTTCCAAATACAGTGACAACTTATTGACGACTTGAAATAATAAAATATTAATTTAAAATATTGTAATATAATATTTATTACTATGAAATGGCATACTGTTGTGCAGCTGAATAGTTTTAAATTTCCAAAAATATACATTGCCTGCCATTGGGCGTTATTCAAGCGCCATCTAGGCGGCTTACTGCAGATATCTGTTAAAGCACTGTTATCGCTTAACATATGTTGCCACTCTAGCTACAGGGACTCAACAGAGTTCTGCTAACTAACAGATTTAAGTTATTTAAATTTAATTATTCATCATTATTAATATATTTATTTGAGTAAATATTTATATATTATGTGTAGCGCATCGATTTTTATTACATTTATAACCTTCATATCTCTAATTTAATCATAAGGTATTTTTTAAAAATATTATTTAGTAATGTATTAATTTTTTATTAAATATATGTATTGAAATTTTTTCTTAATAAATTTTCTTAATTCTTGCAATAAAGCTATTTGTATTTAACCATAAAAGTATTCATTCATTCATTCATGTTGACTTTATTAAATTGCAAAGTCATTACCGATCATCGATCATTTGTCTCATTAATTAAGTATCATTTTTATAAAGTAATGTGATTTATAAAGTTGTGTGAGTGCTGGTGTGACCTAAAATTAAAATATTTACCTCCTTGGGCAGTTATTTCCTTAAAGTTATTCACGTTACTCCTTTCAAGGTCCCCAACTAGAATCCCCCGCCCCCCAAAACGATCCATCAAGATCGAAATCGCTTAGCTATCATTAGCTGATGCTGGATAAAAAATGGGATGTGAGAAACAAATGCGTTCCAGCTAAACTGACAGCGGAATACAATTAACCATGCTAATGCCAAAGCCGGAATATTCAGGGGGCTATGCCGAATCGGGGGTGGTTATGTTGTGCTTCGTGTAAATTACAACTAACACTATAAATTTTTTGCATTTCTAGGCTTTAAATGTTTTTTGCATTTAACATTAGCTTAATGCCATCATAAATTTTGTGCTCGCATCCAATGGCAATAAATACATTAGCGATATGTCTGAAATGAGCAATGCGGGGGCGAGGGCGGCTCATTGAATTTCAAAATGATGCTAAAGTGAGAAAAGTTTTCAATTGAATTTAATGCGAAAAGTTGATATGCAAATGCGACGCGGTCGATCGGTGCGATGTTGTTTACTATATTTATTATTTATTTATTTATCTATCCATCTATTCTGCTGTCGCTTGGCTTGTAGCCGGGTTATATATTTAATCTTTAATAAATGGGAACATTTAGCAGCCCACAGTTTAGTGTTTATCGAATTTATCACGCCGACCTCTTCGCTCTCTCCCCGATCAGTTCGATCAGTGCGATCAGCCGACCGACCGGCAATTAAATGCACATTAATCATTCACCTTCACCCCTCTCTTTCTCTTGCCCCTCGTGCCCTCTCTTTCTGGCAGGAGCAATCGACATGTGTTTGTCCATCGGCAACTCAGATATATGTCCACATATATCCCCCAGATCCCATATATCCCCGTGGCTATCTCGATTTCCATTTCCATTTGCACCGTGAAATTGTTCTGTGTATAAATTTGTATTAGTTAATCCCAAAACATGATTTTATAATTTGACTTACATAATTTTAATACATACATAATTTCAGATTTAACTTCTCGATATATGTTTATCTTAAGTTTACATGGTAATAACAAGAACAAGAACAACCAGGGGGCCACAATGGGTTAAGAGGGGGTCAAAACAGCCACTTTAACCGCCAGTTGCCTGAACATTTTCAGCTATTAATTGAATCGACCGAACAAGTTACCATGTGGCTAGTTTCAGTCTCTCGATCCGATTAAGTCGGGCAAACCACTTGATGGCTTAATTATCTACTTAAGAATATTAACTGTTTTGCGGTGACTTGGCCATCACAATTGCTTTTAAATTATTTGCTTATCGATGGGAAGTCATTTCATTGTTATTTTAATATTGCTATAGGTATTTGTATTAATTGTCTTTCGTTAGAGTAAATTCATTTTGATTTTTAATAATCCAGTTTTTATTTACATATTTATCAAATATATTTGTTTAAATTAAATGCATTTAAACCATCGTGCTAACTTTTTGTTATGAACTTTGGTTTAAATTATAGTGAAGGTATCAAGGTTTTTCTCATAATGTTGGAGTTATCGACAGAAATGATATGTCTTTCTCCTTCTAAACGATTTCCTTAATTCTTTTTTTTTCTACAAAAAAACACAAAAAAAACCATGCCTATAAAACTTTTACTCAACTTTTCCTCGCAAAAGTAGTTTCCCATGGTTAGGAAATCGGTATTTTACTATCCGTATAATTTGTCAGCATTTTGTACTCTCGATTATTTATTTTCGCCTATTTATTTATGTATTTATTTTTGCTGCTGCCGCTGTTACAGTGGGGCAACGAAATGTGCAACTCAGCTTCGATTTCTGTTGACTTGCCACCGTGTTGTCCGCTGTGCCCCCCTCCCACCATTCAGTTGCCACTTTGCTTGTTGTTTGATTAAATTGTTTCAATTGTAAACGTTGCTCGCAATTTGTCAAGTCCAAGTGGCGTGTTTGTGTTGCCGTTGTTATTTTTTTGTCGTTGTTTGTGGCGCGTGGCGCGACTTCGAATAAAGAAAACAAAAAATGCAAGAATGCAGCAGGATGTGGAGTGCCAGACTGCCCAATACCTAGTAATTTCGGTAAGCGTGTGATTATATCCTGAATTAAAAAAAAGAATTAATTAACTGAATAGTTTTTGTTCTGGTTCCTAAAATATATCCCAATATCAGATTTGTAAGCTATTAAGATTACACCAACAATAAAAATATAAATACCTTATATTTCTAGATATACATATTTATTTACAAAAGGTGTGATTTTGTATATATTGTTTTGATATTTTAGAATTAGTTACTTCAACATTGGGGCACAGTCGATAACTTCTATCAGCTTTAAAGGGTATCTACCTGAAAAACAAACAACAGACTCAAATTGCCAATTTTTGTGCATTTTGTGCTCCTTTTCAAAACTAATCACGTCTAATGAAAGGCAACAACAGCAAGTAGCAATGGCTTTTTGGGGTCGGCCACGCCTCCCAATATATATAATGGCTATATATAGTATGTTATGGTATAGCCGCCAATCCGCCCCCACACCCGGTGATTGACAGAGCGCCTGGGCACGGCCGAAACCATCGAAGCCGAACAGTTTCTACTTCCATCTGGACCCACGAGTAGAGCCACTCAAGCTCTGGGCCCAGTCATAGAGCCAGATACAAAGTCGGCCCCAGATACAAAGTCGGCTCTAGATACAGATACAGATTCAGATACAAACTGTCCTCGTTTGGTCACCGGGCGCTGTGCCGGCCATAATTTAAGCAAATGTCGTGCCAACGACAATGACGTCGCCGCTGCCACTCAGCCACTCGATCACGCTCTGGTTTCTGACTTCGATCCATGTACCCTTGCAAGACCTATCTTTCCAAGCTCTTCAGCTATATCGCCATCCACTATCTGCATTTTATATGAATCAAATGCCATGCCATCTTCACTCTAATACATACAATGGTGAAAAAAATGTCATAATGAGCCCAGCCGATATATTTAAAGTCCAACTTTATAGTTCTATGAATTTTTCCTGCAATTATTTAACAAACACGCAAACCAACAAAAAACGCTTTTTTAAAATCAGATTTTATATCACCACCCTGAGAAGTAATGGTCAAAAGCTGGAATGTCATACACCGTTGAATTCGTAATAAAATTTCCAATCAAATGGCATTCACAGTTAAAATTTTTTCAGATTTTCAAATTTCTGCAAAAAATGATGATGTACCCCCTTACAAAAAAGTCAGAAATTTGGACAAAAAAAAATTTTTCAAAAAACGTTTTTCAAAATTCGGTTTTTTTGTCAAAACTCAATTAATTGTTTTCAAACGATCAGGGATGGATGGTATAGGTTGCCAGCTGTTCAAAACTGCAACTCTTTTGACTATGGGTCTTATTTTGGCAAAGTTACAACAAAAAGACTCTTCAGAAATAATTTTGTTTGAAAAATTACCAAAAATCCCAAAAAACACATTAAAAACTTGGTTTTTGTGTCAAAACCCTTGGAAACAATGATCCAAATGTGGAATGCCATACACCGTTGAATTCGTAATAAAATTTCCAATCGAATGGCATTCTCAGCTAAAATTTGTTCAGATTTTCAAATTTCTGCAAAAAATGATGATGTACCCCCTTACAAAAAAATCAGAAATTTGGACAAAAACAAATTTTTCAAAAAACGATTTTCAAAATTCGGTTTTTTTGTCAAAACTCAATTAATTGTTTTCAAACGATCAGGGATGGATGGTATAGGTTGCCAGCTGCTCAAAACTGCAACTCTTTTGACTATGGGTCATATTTTGGCAAAGTTACAGCAAAAAGACTCTT